ACACCATACCTACTGTGAAGCATGGGGGTGGAAACATCATGCTTTGGGGCTGTTTTTCAGCAAAGGGACCAGGACGACTGATCCGCGTAAAGGAAAGAATGAATGGGGCCATGTATCGTGAGATTTTGAGTGAAAACTTCCTTCCATCAGCAAGGGCATTGAAGATGAAACGTGGCTGGGTCTTTCAGCATGACAATGATCCCAAACACACCGCCCGGGCAACGAAGGAGTGGCTTCGTAAGAAGCATTTCAAGGTCCTGGAGTGGCCTAGCCAGTCTCCAGATCTCAACCCCATAGAAAATCTTTGGAGGGAGTTGAAAGTCCGTGTTGCCCAGCGACAGCCCCAAAACATCACTGCTCTAGAGGAGATCTGCATGGAGGAATGGGCCAAAATACCAGCAACAGTGTGTGAAAACCTTGTGAAGACTTACAGAAAACGTTTGACCTGTGTCATTGCCAACAAAGGGTATATAACAAAGTATTGAGAAACTTTTGTTATTGACCAAATACTTATTTTCCACCATAATTTGCAAATAATGTCATTAAAAATCCTACAATGTGATTTTCTGGAATTTTTTTCCCCTCATTTTGTCTGTCATAGTTGACGTGTACCTATGATGAAAATTACAGGCCTCTCTCATCTTTTTAAGTGGGAGAACTTGCACAATTGGTGGCTGACTAAATACTTTTTTTCCCCACTGTATACACTACCGGTTAAAAGTTTTAGAACACCTACTCATTCAAGGGCTTTTATTTATTTTTTACTATTTTCTACATTGAAGAATAATAGTGAAGACATCAAAACTATGAAATAACACATATGGAATCATGTAGTAAACAGAAAAGTAAATATATATATACAAAATATATTTTATATTTGAGATTCAAATAGCCACCCTTTGCCTTGATGACAGCTTTGCACACTCTTGGCATTCTCTCAACCAGCTTCATGAGGTAGTCACCTGGAATGCATTTCAATTAACAGGTGTGTCTTCTTAAAAGTTAATTTGTGGAATTTCTTTCCTTCTTGATGCGTTTGAGCCAATCAGTTGTGTTGTGACCAGGTAGGGGGGGGGGGGGGGGGGGGGGGTATACAGAAGATAGCCCTATTTGGTAAAATACCAAGTCCATATTATGTCAACAACAGCTCAAATAAGCAAGAGACTTGCTTGGGCAAAGAAACACGAACAATGGACATTAGACCGGTGGAAATGTGTCCTTTGGTCTGGAGTCCAAATTGGAGATTTTTGGTTCCAACCGCCGTGTCTTTGTGAGACGCGGTGTGGGTGAACGGATGATCTCTGCATGTATGTTTCCCACTGTAAAGTATGGAGGAGGAGGAGGTGTTATGGTGTGGGGGTGCTTTGCTCGTGACACTGTCTGTGAATTATTTAGAATTCAAGGCACACTTAACCAGCATGGCTACCACAGCATTCCGCACCGATACGTCATCCCATCTGGTTTGGGCTTAGTTGGACTATCATTAGTTTTTCAACAGGACAATGACCCAACACAGCTCCAGGCTGTGTAAGGGCTATTTTACCAAGAAGGAGAGTGATGGAGTGCTGCATCAGATGACCTGGCCTCCACAATCCCCCGACCTCAACCAAATTGAGATGGTTTGGGATGAGTTGGACCGCAGAGTGAAGGAAAAGCAGCCAACAAGTGCTCAGCATATGTGGGAAGTGCTTCAAGACTGTTGGAAAAGCATTCCAGGTGAAGATGGTTTAGAGAATGCCAAGCGTGTGCAAAGCTGTCATCAAGGCAGCTTTGGGCGGCAGGTAGCTTAGTGGGTAAGAGCGTTGTGCCAGTAACCGAAAGGTCGCTGGTTCTAATCCCCGAGCCGACTAGGTGAAAAATCTGTCGATGTGCCCTTAAGCAAGGCACTTAACCCTAATTGCTCCTGTAAGTCGCTCTGGATAAGAGCGTCTGCTAAATGTATAATAAATAAATAAATAAATAAATAAGGCAAAGGGTGGCTATTTGAAGAATCTCAAATATAAAATATATTTTGATTTAACACTTTTTTGGTTACTACATGATTCCATATGTGTTATCTGATGTCTTCACTATTAGTCTATAATGTGGAAAATAGCAAAAATAAAGACAAACCCTTGAATGAGTAGGTGTTCTAAAACTTTTGACCGCTAGTGTATATCTTATGACCATTGGGCTAGACTAGAGGAATGACTCCTAGTTTACCTGTTTTTGGACCCTAGTTATATAATAATATTATATTATAGGTTAAACTATTCTACCCAGGTTATATTATAATGTGATACTATAGTAGAGGATTTCCACAAAATTATTTGTGATGACATTCAATTTCTTCATTTCCTAACATGCCATGGGAGATTGGGACAGTGTCTGACAGAGACAGTGTCTGACAAAATGGGTATTGTACAAGTATCACACACACACAGCAGCAGTCACCAGAGCAAAGGTTTGTTATGGCAATGGGTTGATGAGGCAATGGCTGAATAGAATAGGGAGAGAAGAACAAGGGGATGGTGGAATAAGTTAGGACAGTCCATAGGAGCTGTTGTGTGTGGTTTTCCACGATCAGTCATAAGCAATTATCATCTCCTCTAAGAAGGGCCACTCTGACAGTTTTCAGGCATGAGAATGCATGTAGATACAGCTTAATTGCCTGGCTACAGCCAGGGACAAAACAGAAACCAAACAACCCAGGTCTTTGTTCAAGAGAAGAGTTTACCCATAGACTTTGTAGTTAGTCAAAAATAGGTTCATACGGTAGGCGTCAAAAGGAGTACTATGTGCATTAACCAACAGTAATAGCACTTGTGTGACATCGTAATTGTGTGACGACCATTTACAGGCAATCTGATTATCAATATATTGATTTGTTTTATTTAATCATTGATTTCTCTAAAGGTAGCACTACAGTCTATCACTCTAGGCCTGAGGTCAGTATAGTTATTGATACATGTGGCACAATTCTCCTGGCTTTCATCAATATCAATCAACCATCCCACGCCATGGCAGTGTGACCTATAGAGAGGCATGCAATGTGCAACACAATTGTCTGACTTCACTGTTGCTGCCTGACCCCTCCATAAGGAGCCATCACCAGAGGCCTCATTCCCATTCAAACTGATGTAACTTTTTAGGATAAAAACAAGATACACAGAACATTCATCTACAAAAAGAATGCAAATATATACAATTTGGCCATCAGTGCCCTTTCGAAAATGATTGGTGTCCAATGTCCATGGCAACCATCAACAATCGTCACAACAGAGAGGATCCTTCGTGGCGGTGGTCTGTCCGTTCTATCGCCCCTTCCCTAATTGCTCCCTGTGAGGTTGAATTCTCAGACGATGTGTTCCTCCTCTGATGCACTCCCCCCCTCTCTGCCTTCTCTCCCCTGAGCAGCTGCTCTGTGGTTTGGCTAACTAGCCTTGCCTAGCGCTCTGGGCTCCAGTTATGTAATGACTGCAGAGCAGATAGAAGCATAGAGCCACATCCCCTGGTCAACTGACTGCATCCCAAATGGCACCCTATTCCCTATAGTGCACTCCCAAAAGTAGTGCACTACATTGGGAATAGAGTGCCATTTGGGAAGCACCCACTGACTGCATGCATGGCCAACATTAAGGCGAGCTGCTACAACAGAATCATTACAAGCACTTACGCTTATTAAATTGGCATGAGGCCCAACGTGGGGCAAGCCCCTGAGACGTTAGACAAAGGCGTAGTGCAAGAGCCCATGAGAATGACTGAGTAGACTCTAGAGCCTTGTTGGGCAGCATACTCAACTCCCACAGAAGAGAAGAACAAGGTGACATAAAAATGAATTCCCCATTGGATAACAGTACATTATTCAAGTAACCTAAATAAAATACAAGATATAGGAGTGATGTGTGGTGGGGGCTTTGGGGGTCCCTGAGAGCATTTCTAGGAAACATGGAGCAAATGAATGAGTTAGAATTTCAAGTGGAGGATGAAGGAGATCTAGTCCACTTGTAATGCAGCACCTCTCAGCCAAGACGCTCTCTCCTCTCTCTGAGCTAACCCCTGTCCGTGCACCCCTGTCCTGTGCAAAGTCTCTTATGGTTGATTGATGACAGCGTTCGCAGCCAGATCAATGCTAGGACACTGTTAGAAAAAAAGGAGAGAAAATAAGGAGGGAAATGGACACAAAGGAAAATGACAAGCCTGATGAATGCCTGAACATAACACCTCAAAGGAAAAGACAAGGAGAGCCTATATATATTTTACTCATGTCACTACTTTTTAAGACTATGCCCATGGACATCCTTTGAGATACAAGATTAGAAAAATAGGTAACACTTGCATATCACACACAAAGTCCTCTAGCCATGTGAGCTCAATGAAATGAATGAATGTGTATTCCCTAGGGGTGAATTACGGTATATTCATTCAGGACACATAAATATTGCTTTAACCCAGAGTTTAAATATTGAATCACTCATGCATTACATTGAAAATAAATTAACATTATCAAACTAAAGTGCCATGGGTGAGACAAAAATACTTAGGCTTCACAGATTCATTCATCACAAACAACTTTATTCATTTAGAGCTATGCACCCACCCAATCCACAGTGTTTATTCAGTAACAACGTGTACAAAATATAGCAGCCACATTTACCATACCACAGGCACAGAGATTACAAAAATGAATCAGGTACAAGAGCGCAAATTCAAACAACAAAGTCATTCACTTTACAGTACAGAGTACTTGATCATGTAACCTCCTGACATTGAATAGTACTGGCCACAGTTAGTTGTTCAGGAACACAAGGCTTAATCGCAGGTTCTGATAACAAACATGAGTGTGTGATGTCGTCCTTAATCATGATAAAGCTGGGCCCACTGTTCCCTGGCAGCCTGCGAACCCTCGGCCTGTGAAATTGAGCTCTGTTATCCTGCATCGAGCGGCTGGAGGGGTGTACAGTAATCAGATTTGCGTTCCGCCTGTGTGTGTGTGTAAGTGTGTGTGTGTGTGTGTGTGATGGATAGGTGTGGAAGGAGCCAAGGCTGTGTGTTCTCCCTCCCTCCATTTTACCTCAGGGACCCAAGGCTGCTTCCAACCAGGGATATCACTCATGTGATGTCATCACACAGAGACAGAGGACCGCAGAGCAAAGGTTTTATTGGACCACCAAACTGAGGGTGTCTGTCGTGTCACGTGAACGTGACTGAAGAATCGCCACAGCAGTTTATAAAAATGTAGTTTTTTTTTCTCCGTATCACTGCACTGTCCTTTGCGTCTGTTGTCATGATGCTGCTCTTTGGCGTCCCCAAATGCTTTAGCAATTCCAACATGTCGCCGCCGCCTAAATGCAGCTGGGTTCTCCATGTATCAGCGGAAGTTCAGTTGAGGCCACACCTGCCTCAGAGCTTATTACCTAGACATAATACTGTAGCACGCCCAGACTCCCTTTTCCCTACCAACTACCACAGTGAACACAGCTTTCAATTTCTGCTTCTTATAAGATGGAGCAGCAGCAGCACACAGAGCAACTCAAAACATAGGCATAGCGTGAGTGCTCCCTGGTGGACAATCACAGAACTTGACATGTAAAGCATTGCAATGCAATGAGAGGCCTGCCTCTTCTTGAAGGGGGGGGAATGGTCATCTGGCTGCAACTACTGTCTGCAGATAACCAAGAACATTCTAGATAAGAAAAATAATGTAGTTGGAGCAACTGTCATGGAAGGGGAGAGAGTCTGACCTGATGACTGTATGAGGAGGACATGTCTGCCATGATCTGGCAATGGTGGAAGCACTTCACACATTTTCAAAATGTTTGTTCTCGCCACTGTGCCGGTGGCATTCTTGGAGCTTTCTTAAGGTCAGTCTTGGCTTTGTTGTCCACTTTCTCTTCTGAGCCTTCTTATATTTCTTAGCTGTCTAGGATTCCTTATCCTTTTCTTTGCCCTCTTAGCCTTCTGAGCCTCAGAAGTTACTCCTTTTCGGGCTTCCTTACCAACACGGTGGTACATGGAAGTATCTGGCAAAAGAGACAATGGGTTAGCCTACATAAGATGTCATACTGCCACTTTTCCACTATCAGAACCAGGAAAAACTAGAGCTAAGGACAGCCAAGCACTGTGGTTCAAGGAAGTAAACGTATTCTTAAACTAATTGTATTTTTTGCCACATAGTGCCAAGGCTGCAAATACTGACAATAAGTGGGGACATCTCTTAATCTCACACAACTGAAAGAAAGAAAATAAAGGTGTTACTTGGTAGCTTCACTTACAGCGAGGACAAAAGGCTTCAACCACAAAGCTCTTCACTTCCAGTAGCTCTCTATTCTCTGCCAAATCTTTCCTGGCCTGGAATGTTGAGAAGTGTATTGCTAGCCACCAGTCCTTTCTGTTCACCATCTCCTCTGCAAAACTCTTCCCCCATTGTTTTCTAAAGGAAAAAATAAACCAGTGGAATTGGCACAAATTAAGCATGATATAAGGGCTTGACAATTAGCCATGAGAAGAGATAAGCAATGTATGCCGACATTACATTTATTCGAAGGGAATGCATTTTCAAAGTCATCCTTTTGAGAGAGAGAGTAGTGTGGATTCATGCAGCCATCCTTACTTCATCCTCAGTCTCTTGATGATGTTCCTCAAATGGTTCCAGACATCCAAGCTGCTCCTCCAACTGGAATAGTCCAGGAGATCCAGAACCACACCTAGAGCCTTCTGAAGATCACCCTCTTTCTCTGAAAAAAAAATACTCACCCTTTACTATGAACACCTTCAAAAGGACCAACGTCAATGTGAAGAGCACATCCACCAAACACATTCATCTTAATGTGTAAAAGCCACTGAGAGGACAGAAACACACCCGACAACATTGAAAACTGACCAAAACATCAAGATAGACTTTAAAATGGCTTGTTTTCCTCATTTTACACCCTAGTGTGCCTTTAAGGCACTAGAAGCCAATATAATGTTATGATTGTAGCAGAAGAGAACAGTATTCCGGCATCAACTCATGACTTGGGACCAATGTATGCAGGATCTTATATTCACATACCCGATTGTAGCAGAAGAGAACAGTATTCCGGCATCATCTCATGACTTGGGACCAATGTATGCAGGATCTAAGGCAAATGTAATGGAAAACATGGACTAATTAAACAGTACTGTCTCTATTGAGAGGCAGAGCGCAGGACTAACTGTAGCCTAGAGATTTCTTGGTCACAATTAAGTACCTTACTGTGATTGTTTTAAAATAAAATGGTCAAAAAGAAACAGAAATTGCTTCTTAGCAAAGAGCCATTTCTCAAGCAAGAATTTTGCTAGGACTGTCTGGGAGTGGTCTGAGCGGGGAGGGGAAAACCGAAAACGAGCTGTTATTAGCAGAGACGTTTGGAACTCTCTTATTGGTCTATTAACTAATTTACCACCAGGAAGTCCAAAACTCCACCCCACCAAAACAGGCAGACATTTCAGGCGGTCTCGTCAAACAACTCATCCACTAAAAGGGCGTTATCATCATTTTCACAGTATTATTCAAACCTGTAGAAATATATATACAGTGAAGGAAAAAAGTATTTGATCCCCTGGTGATTTTGTACGTTTGCCCACTGACAAAGACATGATCAGTCTATCATTTTAATGGTAGGTTTATTTGAACAGTGAGAGACAGAATAACAAAAAAAAAATCCAGAAAAACGCATGTCAAAAATGTTATAAATTGATTTGCATTTTAATGAGGGAAATAAGTATTTGACCCCTCTGCAAAACATGACTTAGTACTTGGTGGCAAAACCCTTGTTGGCAATCACAGAGGTCAGACGTTTCTTGTAGTTGGCCACCAGGTTTGCACACATCTCAGGAGGGATTTTCTCCCACTCCTCTTTGCAGATCTTCTCCAAGTCATTAAGGTTTCAAGGCTGACGTTTGGTAACTCGAACCTTCAGCTCCCTCCACATATTTTCTATGGGATTAAGGTCTGGAGACTGGCTAGGCCACTCCAGGACCTTAATGTGCTTCTTCTTGAGCCACTCCTTTGTTGCCTTGGCCGTGTGTTTTGGGTCATTGTCATTCTGGAATACCCATCCACGACCCATTTTCAATGCCCTGGCTGAGGGAAGGAGGGTCTCACCCAAGATTTGACGGTACATGGCCCCGTCCATCGTCCCTTTGATGCGCTGAAGTTGTCCTGTTCTCTTAGCAGAAAAACACTCCCAAAGCATAATGTTTCCACCTCCATGTTTGACGGTGGGGATGGTGTTCTTGGGGTCATAGGCAGCCTTCCTCCTCCTCCAAACACGGCGAGTTGAGGCCAAAGAGCTCGATTTTGGTCTCATCTGACCACAACAATTTCACCCAGTTCTCCTCTGAATCATTCAGATGTTCATTGGCAAACTTCAGACGGGCCTGTATATGTGCTTTCTTGAGCATGGGGACCTTGCGGGCGGGGCAGGATTTCAGTCCTTCACGGCGTAGTGTGTTACCAATTGTTTTCTTGGTGACTATGGTCCCAGCTGCCTTGAGATCATTGACAAGATCCTCCCGTGTAGTTCTGGGCTGATTCCTCACCGTTCTCATGATCATTGCAACTCCACGAGGTGAGATCTTGCATGGAGCCTCAGGCCGAGGGAGATTGACAGTTATTTTGTGTTTCTTCCATTTGCGAATAATCACACCAACTGTTGTCACCTTCTCACAAAGCTGCTTGGCGATGGTCTTGTAGCCCATTCCAGCCTTGTGTAGGTCTACAATCTTGTCCCTGACATCCTTGGAGAGCTCTTTGGTCTTGGCCATGGTGGAGAGTTTGGAATCTGATTGATTGATTGCTTCTGTGGACAGGTGTCTTTTATAGAGGTAACAAGCTGAGATTTGGAGCACTCCCTTTAAGAGTGTGCTCCTAATCTCAGCTCGTTACCTGTATAAAAGACACCTGGGAGCCAGAAATCTTTCTGATTGAGAGGGGTCAAATACTTATTTCCCTCATTAAAATGCTAATCAATTTATAACATTTTTTACATGCGTTTTTCTGGAAGTTTTTGTTGTTATTCTGTCTCTCACTGTTCAAATAAACCTACCATTAAAATTATAGACTGATCATTTCTTCATCAGTGGGCAAACGTACAAAATCAGCAGGGGATCAAATACTTTTTTCCCCTCACTGTAAAACACAGGAAAATCTAGTTTTTTACTGCACTTTAACAATGACATTAACAAACATCTGCCTTGCCTAGAATACTCTATATTGTAAAAGGAAAGGAAACACCACAGAAAAAAAACTTGGAAGATTCTTTCATTTAATAAAAATTAAGGTTTAAACAAACAGAAGCCAGTGCCCAGCATTTCAGCTAGACGTCCCTGTTAAGAACACCAACATTGGCCTCAGTCCTACCTTCAGCACTTTGAGAAGTTTCTTCAATGGGTTGGTTGTGTTTCTTCATGTACCGGTATAGGTAGACATGGGCATTGGGGTTGGGGGGGAAACTGTTGTCATAGGCATAGTCATTCAGAACCGTCACAGCTCCCTCGTGATCGTTGTAGAATTCCAGCATCTGCCATTGGCACACGCAAGTCAAAACATTAAATCATCATAGGTTGTCTGATAAGGGAAAGTAGTTAAATGATGGAAAAGTAATACAATTATGGAAAAAGGGGATGCCAGGGGCCATGTTTAGTAGGGCAAATTGTAGCAAACCATTTTGAAACTGAAAAATGAAAACAAGTGTTTTTTATTGGACAAATTCAAGTAATTCGGTTTGGAAAATGTTCTCCTGTTTCATGCGTACTAAACACGAACCAGTACTTACATCAATGTAACTCAGAACAAAAGGATCCCAGACGCCAGGAAGCTTCATGATCTCCTTCAGGTTCACAGAGGATTGTCGGAAGTAGCTATGCATTTCTTGGTTAACTGCTGCATCATACTCATCTAAAAATGTCAAACGTCCATTTTAAGCCAAAGCACAAGCACAGGTTATGGTTACCTTTTATTTGACCATGCTTTTTGAAATGCTTTGGAATGATGTCCCTAAAGGCGCAGTTACATTACCTGGCCGGTAGATGGGGATGTAACAACATAAGGATTTCTACTATCCCAATGTCATTGAAACCAATGAATAATGGTCGCTTGGTGGTTGCCAGGTGTCCTCTTACCTGTGCTGGATACAGTGGCTTTCTTGTCACTCCAGATGAAGTAATCCAGGAAGCCACTGTAGGCCTGGATCAGCTTAATCCTCTGGGACTGACCGGCTGACTGCTTGCCGTACCTCCAGCTCTCAGCGATGGACAGCTGACGCTTGGCATCCTCAAACTGCCCGTTGACCAGGAGGTGGAACGAGTGCTCCAGACAGACCTTCAGGACAAAACACTTCCTCAAAGCACGTTGATATACATTTCGATTGTAAAGACATTCCATCCCTTTGTTTGTTTTTGAAGATGTCATAATGGCTCATAACAAAAAGTACAGATGTGTTGACTGTCCTATATTACTTTTTTTTAACCTATCGACTTAGGGCCCTTTAGTAGGGCTGATAGTGTAGAGATCAAGAGGTCAATTAAGGAACATACCTTCAGGTAATGCTTTACTCCTGAGTGTTTCACTCGCTCATAGAAGCTGTTGTAGTCTTCCAGCTTCGATTCGGGATGGTGGTGTAGTATCTCTGTGCCTATCCTCCAAATTATCTGAAAGACAAAGTTTGAAGAAATCAAACTTAGCATCTATACAGTATTTCTTAGCTACACTTTGTGAGTGTTCAGTCAGTCCAAAGATAGACCTACCTCAGCGTAGAGTTGTGGCATGTTTGCAGTGGTATCCTCCAGTGTCTGTGAGTAACTGGCCATGTACTCTGCGGCATCCTGCCATCTATGGTGCAGCAAGACCTCCCTGATGTGTTGGAGGCAGTTCCTTGTGGTCTTGTGAAAGCCAGTCTCACGGGGTGTCTCTGTAATGAAACAGACATAGCTACTGATTAATAAGACTAAAGAGAGCATCTTATGTAAAGATGAAAACGATAATCAGACACTGACATACACTACGTGACCAAAAGTATGTGGACACCTGCTCGTCAAACATCTAATTCCAAAATCATGGGCATTAATATGGAGTTGTACACCCTTTGCTGCTATAACAGCCTCCACTCTTCTGGAAAGGCTTTCCACTAGATGTTGGAAAATTGCTGCGGGGACTTGCTTCCATTCAGCCACAAGAGCTTAAGTGAGGTTGGGCACTGATGTTGGACGATTAGTCCAGGCTGGCAGTCGGCATTCCAATTCATCCCAAAGGTGTTTGATGGGGTTGAGGTCAGGGCTCTGAGCTAGCCAGTCAAGTTCTTCCACATTTCTGTATGGACCTCGCTTTGTGCACGGGGGCATTATCATGCTGAAACAGGAAAGGGCCTTCCCCAAACTGTTGCCACAAAGTTGGAAGCACAGAATTGTCTAGAATGTCAATGTAAGCTGTAGCGTTAAGATTTCCTTTCACTGGAACTAAGGGTCCTAGCCCAAACCATGAAAAACAGCCCCAGACTATTATTCCTCCACCACCCAACTTTACAGTTGGTGCAATGCATTCGGGCAGGCAGCGTTCTCCTTGCATCCACCAAACCCAGATTCTTCCGTCAGACTGCCAGATGGAGACATGTGACAACGCGTTTCCACTGCTCCAGAGTCCAATGGCGGCGATCTTTACACCACTCCAGTCGACGCTTGGCATTGAGCATGGGGATCTTAGGCTTGTGTGCGGCTGCTCGGCCCGACTAACAGTTATTGTGCTGACATTGCTTTTAGAGGCAGTTTGGAACTCGGTAGTGAGTGTTGCGACCTAGGATTGATGATTTTTTACAAGCTATGTGCTTCAGCACTCGGCGGTCCTCTGTGAGCTTGTGTGGCCTACCCCACTTCGCACTTCGCGGCTGAGCCGTTGTTGCTCCTAGACGTTTCCACTTCACAACAACAGCACTTTAAGTTAATTGAGGCAGCCCTAGCAGGGCAGAAACTTGACGAACTGACTTGTTGGAAAGGGTGGCATCCTATGACCGTGCCACGTTGAATATCACTGAGCTCTTCAGTAAGGCCATTCTACTGCCAATGTTTGTGTATGGAGATTGCATGGCTGTGTACTCGATTTTATACACCTGTAAGCAACGGGTGTGGCTGAAATAGCCGAATCCAATAATTTGAAGGGGTGTCCACATACTTTTGTGTATACATAGTGTATGTAGCACCAATCGGTAGGCAGGACCTTGAACTAGCTGGTTTAGCTTACTCGAGGGTTCACATATTCGTCTACACACTGTAATTTATCAATTACCTTTAAATATAGGAGGCGCCAGGGGTAGGTTTGGCTTCTTGATTCGTTTTCTGTTGATTGATTCATCATCATCTGAAGACTCATTTTCGCCCAGTTCTTCTCCAGGTACCCTGAGTTCCGACTCCAGATCATCCATGACTCACCATTTGAAGTTCGACCTATTTTCGTAAACAATCATGTGAAAGCCACAATATATATATATATATATATATTTGTTATATTTTTAGCAAAATATAATGTAGGTAGTTTAGCAAAAAGTGTGAATTTGCTCCAAACCCCATGCATGCTACCAACGCCTCGTCAGCGACACAAAATAAAATAATTCCGGGTCACGGAATTTCTGAGTTTTTCAAAATAAAGGTCGACCACGTAATAGTAGAAAAGTATCATTAAACTGTATTTATTCATGACAAAAATAATTGTCTAAACATTAACAATGATTCATATTTGTTCCTACTTAAGTGGTATTTGGTTAAAAGTGCAATACACTGTATTCTTCTTCTTCTTCTGTGGGCGTTATGGTGGACTACAACCCAAAAAGGTGTATTGCCGCCACCAACTGGATGGGTTGAAGCCAAAACAAGGTAAAAAATAAAATCCATACGTGATAGGGAAACTAACTCAATCCACCCAAATAAAAATAGTACATTGACAAAACAAAACTCCTATTTCTTCCTTCTTTCAATTCTCCATATCTCCCTTCTCAGGCTCTAGGGTCTGAGACGGTGGTACGGCTTGTGACAATATTCCATGTAACTCCTTCGTCGAGAAATCTTTCAGCCCCAGGAACCTCTCCGCCGCTTCCACAATGATTTCTATCTTCCTGGACCTTCTCTCCACCTTGGCAGTGCCATTTATCACCATAGCTATAAAGGCCACAAAGTCCACCTTCTTAACCTTTGAAATATCAGGATCCTGCTGGTGAAAGGCAACCCCTGCAGCCTGCAGTGAAGGCCTTTCCATTTTACATTTACATTTTTGTCATTTAGCATACGCTCTTATCCAGAGCGACTTACAGTTAGTGGACTTCAAGTGCACCATTCAAACCCTCAACCCTTTTACCAGCTGCTGCATATGATACAGTGGGGAAAAAAAGTATTTAGTCAGCCACCAATTGTGCAAGTTCTCCAACTTAAAAAGATGAGAGAGGCCTGTAATTTTCATCATAGGTACACGTCAACTATGACAGACAAAAGTAGAAAACTAAATCCAGAAAATCACATTGTAGGATTTTTTATGAATTTATTTGCAAATTATGGTGGAAAATAAGTATTTGGTCACCTACAAACAAGCAAGATTTCTGGCTCTCACAGACCTGTAACTTCTTCTTTAAGAGGCTCCTCTGTCCTCCACTCGTTACCTGTATTAATGGCACCTGTTTGAACTTGTTATCAGTATAAAAGACACCTGTCCACAACCTCAAACAGTCACACTCCAAACTCCACTATGGCCAAGACCAAAGAGCTGTCAAAGGACACCAGAAACAAAATTGTAGACCTGCACCAGGCTGGGAAGACTGAATCTGCAATAGGTAAGCAGCTTGGATTGAAGAAATCAACTGTGGGAGCAATTATTAGGAAATGGAAGACATACAAGACCACTGATAATCTCCCTTGATCTGGGGCTCCACGCAAGATCTCACCCCGTGTGGTCAAAATGATCACAAGAACGGTGAGCAAAAATCCCAGAACCACACGGGGGGACCTAGTGAATGACCTGCAGAGAGCTGGGACCAAAGTAACAAAGCCTACCATCAGTAACACACTACGCCGCCAGGGACTCAAATCCTGCAGTGCAAGACGTGTCCCCCTGCTTAAGCCAGTATATGTCCAGGCCCGTCTGAAGTTTGCTAGAGTGCATTTGGATGATCCAGAAGAGGATTGGGAGAATGTCATATGGTCAGATGAAACCAAAATAGAACTTTTTGGTAAAAACTCAACTCGTCGTGTTTGGAGGACAAAGAATGCTGAGTTCTATCCAAAGAACACCATACCTACTGTGAAGCATGGGGGTGGAAACATCATGCTTTGGGGCTGTTTTTCTGCAAAGGGACCAGGACGACTGATCCGTGTAAAGGAAAGAATGAATGGGGCCATGTATCGTGAGATTTTGAGTGAAAACCTCCTTCCATCAGCAAGGGCATTGAAGATGAAACGTGGCTGGGTCTTTCAGCATGACAATGATCCCAAACACACCGCCCGGGCAACGAAGGAGTGGTTTCGTAAGAAGCATTTCAAGGTCCTGGAGTGGCCTAGCCAGTCTCCAGATCTCAACCCCATAGAAAATCTTTGGAGGGAGTTGAAAGTCCGTGTTGCCCAGCGACAGCCCCAAAACATCACTGCTCTAGAGGAGATCTGCATGGAGGAATGGGCCAAAATACCAGCAACAGTGTGTGAAAACCTTGTGAAGACTTACAGAAAACGTTTTACCTGTGTCATTGCCAACAAAGGGTATATAACAAAGTATTGAGAAACTTTTGTTATTGACCAAATACTTATTTTCCACCATAATTTGCAAATAAATTCATTAAAAATCCTACAATGTGATTTTCTGGATTTTTTTTTCTCATTTTGTCTGTCATAGTTGACGTGTACCTATGATGAAAATTACAGGCCTCTCTCATCTTTTTAAGTGGGAGAACTTGCACAATTGGTGGCTGACTAAATACTTTTTTTCTCCACTGTACGCTCTGGATAGCCCTGACTTTGGCTTGCAGGGATTTGTAGTCTTGCATGTCTACTTTGATGCTAATTAGCATTTTTCGAATCTGAGAGTAAATAGAGCCGAATATATTGATAAAAGTCACCTTGTCCAAGAGCGATTTAAATGGTTATCAAAACGTCATACCAGGGTAAGCCTACACGAAGCACAGCCCTTATTTTAAGTGTTTCTAAAATTCCCTATAGGAAAAATGAATGGTGGAAAAACGATTGGAACCATTTCCGTTTGACCGCTAGGTTTTATGGGTATTATGACACCTCCACTGTGGGGCTCTATAGCAGGGGTAGGCAACTCTGTTCCTGGAGTGCAGCAGGTTCTGCAGGATTTTGTTCCAACTAGGCACCACACCTGACCAACTGAGCTAATTGATCAGTTCAGTGATTGCCTAAATTCAACACACCTGCTGTTCCAGGTTGGTTCAATCCAAAATATGAAGTGTCTGCGGCACTCCTGGACCAGGGTTGCCTAGCCCTGCACTATAGGCCTATAAATTACATATTGGCTTATAGAGAGAACTATTCTAGGTGCCGGAATGAAGTGGGGTTGGGATTACTCAATAGGGTCTTCATTTTAATTTGACTTTATAACAAGTGGGCTTTGTGTTCGAGCCTATTTCTTCCTATTTAAGAAATAAAAGGTAGGCCTACCTGTTTGTGGACGAAATTATAGGCTATACTATAATAACATATATATATATATATAATAATGATTTAACAACAATATAATGGAATAAAATAGAATAGAATAAATTAGGGAAGGGAGTTGGTCGCAGAGGTCTGGTGTTGGTGGAAGGACTGGTAAAGGGTGGACCTAGTGCTATAGTAGGAGTTGACTGTACTGATAGTGACGCTGTTGTCTATGGTGATAAGAGTTAACTGTGGAGTCGACCTTACTGATAAATGCATAGATCAGAATAATTTGACAAAACAGATGAATGAAAATAAGGCTGTTGAACCACCAAATCGGAAACATAAATTGTATGGGGTGGCAGGGATGTTGTGGAGGATCAGAAAGTTAACACTCAAAAAAATGAGGGGAATTATCATGCTATTTCAATGGCAATACATTCCATTATGCAGCATAATGAAAAGTGTGATTTCGAATTTTGGGAGGAAGTTGCCAAAACTTTGCAATGGCCAATTGGAAAACCCATTGTCACCAAACGTAGTATCAAACATTTTAGGAATATGTGGGACAAGAACAGAGGTAACATTCAGTTTTGTTAATCAGATTGAGGAACAAGGTTGAGTTGACCAATCCTTTGAGCCGTCACCCATATGTAATGAGATAGGAGATGAGGATGACAGCATAAACTTTAGTCAGTGCAACAGTCAAAGACAATAAACTAACTGATACAAAAACACCAAACACAGAGGGGGGAGAAGAAATGCAGTGAAATGTAAATATGGTGAGGAATGTGTCACACAGCACAAGAAACCCCAAACACTTTTTTTTCTGTAAATCACCAAATAACAGTAAACAAGCAATGATTGTATTGGCCTATCTCCAGATAGTCAAAAGGATGTAGCATCTGCTACTTTTCTATGCAACTCAGAATCATGTTGAGTTCAAGTACAGCCATTGTAAAATGGATTTAGTCTTAAAGGGGACTGTGACACATCTATACAATCTATTGATAGTGACAACAAAGTGAAATTAAACAAAATGGTAAAAGAACGTAAATGAGGTTCAGGTACAAAATCTTTGGTAGGCTCAGTGCCTCACATCCCTAGAATCATGTAGTTAAGTAGGCCTCAAACAGTACTGGGGAAAATCTGAATATTATTTATGGGGGGGGGGGGGGGGGGGGGTATAGATAATTTTAAACAATAAAGGCAATACTTGGGGAGATATTGACCCTGAATATGGAATGGACCAGCACAGTTGGCCAACATCACTTTTATGGGTTGTAAGAATAGGCAGAAAGAGGTTCATGTCTTTGGTATTGGCCTGTAATTAGTTGCAATGCTTTTTTGTCATTTCATTTGCAATGGCATGTGACTTGGATCATTACCATCATTGATGGTCCTCCCAAATATGTTCACTACCGGGCTTCCCTGGACCTTGATAGTAGAGTGGCTACTATTTTGAGAACAGAAAAAATAAAATAAGGATAGCCAACCCTTAGCGTCGTCCCTCAACTAGGCATTTATATTAACATTTATTTGATCAATTCTGACTTTTAAAGGTTAATATAAATGTAGTTGAGGGACGATAGCCTACCCCGAGACTGTGAGAGTCATATCCTCTCTGTATTTGCTTAGTTTGTTTTGGTACCCAGTGCCTGAAAAATAATCTACATGTGCTTTTGAGGTATCATAATAAATCTGCGGGAGTCAGATAGGCAAATTGAATGGAGAAATCGAGTGGGAAATTGCGCTCACTTGTCAGTAAACTTGTGGAATGTTTTAGTTCTATCCAACAAAGACGTGATAAACCCGAATCAGAACGTATATTGTGATGCCATAATCATATTTTATTCAGCGTTCTGGTTCCATGTCCTTGCTCTTTTAGTTTTGACATTGTCTGCCCAAATTTTCATATTTGCCTCCATGATCAACACATCCTTCGAATTGCTCCAGCCTTGGATTTTCTGACTTGTCGGCTTCATCTGCTCATGCTCGAGCAGAACCAGCCAGCCCAACATGGCTGTACATGTTTCTTATGTAACGTTATACATTTTAATGTTATGTATTCATAATTTCATACCCAAAGCCGCAGTCGAAAGGAGATTCTCCGACTTCAAAAGATGTGCAGACGAAGAATGCAGTAGTAAGTACTTGGCGCTAAACTCACGCGAACTTTCAGGATGCTTCCATCGTTCAATTCACTATCCCCCACCTCATCCCTAGCTAGTTTGACAGGCGTTATCATTGACCGGTTGCCATTTCAAAGGGATGAACTCGGCTAACCTAACTGTCGTTAGTAGTAAATACCAATAAATAATAACCTAAGCTTGCTTGGTTGTAGCCGAAGCGAAGCCTCTGCCTGGAAGTAGAGCAACGTACGCTAACGTTAGCTCAACTATGTGTTTCTGTACTAACCAAAGCCACACAAGGGCTCATAGTCAATGTTCACAAGTTTGGAGTAGCTAACTAGCTACATAACATAACTTGCCAGTTGATCTGGCAGTCTTCTTAGTTAGCTAGCTAGCTACATTAGCCTACCATACACACAATAGAGATGTGTTAGCTTGATTGTAATAAACTAGCTAACTTACTTACTAAACGGACCATAAAGATATCATACTTCTGTGTTGGCTTAGGAAGCAAATTGCAAGATGGTGTATAGGCATGGTTAGCTATATAGCTAGCTATTGTTGACATAAAAGACTGTCATGTCATTAACCCCTCTGCTTGCAAGTTATTTTCTTTTTGCATCTACCTTATCAAGTTAAAAACAATATTCTATTTACCCTTGATGCTTTCCTTTTTGTTACTCTGGCTCTGTAAAAAGAGAAGTAGATAACTTTAGAGATGTCTATTCTATTCACGCCCTGATTGTGCATGGGGCACATAGCGTGGACGCCCAGGTCAGTGGCTGGGTCATGGGCCGGAATCTTTGGTAGGGGTTACATCTCCACAACAACTGATCTTTGAAACATTTCTCTCCACAGTGCTCCTGTGCAGGGGGAAAGCTTTCAGCGATTTCACCGGACCAGACTGTCGGTTTCTGTCATTTAAAAAAGGAGAGACTATATATGTCTACTATAAACTCTCAGGCAGACAGACAGATATATGGGCAGGGAGTGTAAGTATTAGTTAATATTTAATTATGTGATAACATTGCAGTCTAGATGGAATGTTGAAGCATTTTCTGTTTTGTTAACATCATGTTTCGTTCTCTGTTTTTGTTGCAATTTCGTACAATAGGTTGGTAACCGCTTTGGTTATTTCAATAAGGACCAACTTGTAATCAATCACATATACACTGAAAAAGAATTGGAGGTTCCTTCTGAGGTAAATTGATTTAGGCCTATTTCACTACTGCCAATGCATCATCACTTAAAAAAAGTATCTGGAATGACTGAACTTCTTTCTGAAATGGGTAGTATGACTCAAACAATGTCTTCTTTTTCTTTTCAGGAAACCGACTTTGTTTGCTTTGACACTGGACACGATAAGTTTGACAGTTATGACATTGATTCACTGTTAGGCTCCTCTTTATTGTTAACAGACAAGGAGGAATCTGTGCAAGTAACCACAGATACTTTTGACCTAACCAAAAGTGCTGAGAGCACCACAGTTGAAGTGGATAAGCCTCCACCTGAAGTGACACTGTCAGAAAATTATGAGATTGATAGGGATGTTCCTGAGGACATTGATAAGGTTGTAGAGGAGGTTCCAGATGAGGTTGTAGAGGAGGTTTCAGATTATGAAGATCTGAGACATTTTGAGCCTTTAGAGTCCTCTCTGCCTCAGCCTGAAACTATTGACACAAAGGGAGTGGAATCTGACACTGTACTTGAGACCACAGCTGAGAGGATCAAAGATTACCTTCAGAAAGATCAGCAGAGGACAGAGGACTCTGTGCCGGACAGTGTTGTTGAACCAGAGGAAGGTGAGACCAAAGAAACCCCCTCAGAACCTCTATCCAAAGATGATCCTGAGTTAAAGAATGCACCTGGTGGTTTTTCAGAAGGCAGACCTATCCCTGAGTTAAAAACTTTTGATGCTGTCACCTCTGATGATGAGGACACTTGGAAGGTGACTCCATATGACGAGGAGGACGAGGAAAGTGACAAGTTTGAATATCAGCAGGATGAGGAAAGTGATTATCATCTCAGGGAAACTCCATTGCTGGCTTTTTCTGAAGAACCTTCTAATTTGGAACACAAGAACATTCCGGAATCTGATCAGACAGATGAGGAAGACAGTCTATCAGAGGTACCTCATACACAGAAACAGGACTCCAAGGACAATAACCTGTGGTCTTCATTTGGTGATACAGTTTTTAACATTGTCAGTGGTGGGGAAAGAATAGCTCATGTTGCCGGTTCAGAGGAAGATGACGAGGATGATGACGAAGGTGAAATGACACCAGAGGAGTCTCCCAAAATTGAAGAACCCAAGGAGTCAGAGGAAGCAGAACAGCCACATGAGCTAATCTTTGAAGAACCTGCAGACTCTAATTACAGTGAGGATGCTGTCAAAGTACCTGATGAGGATTCCCAGACATTGCAGTTTGAGGATGAATCTGAAGAAGGTGACATTGAACATTCAACACCTCCTGCTGATGAGGCAAGTCCCTTTGAACACACTGAGGAGGCTTTAGCAGAGAACCTTACAGTAGATGACAGCCCAGTCCCTAAACAGCTCTCAAAGACAGACATGCTCTCAGACTTTGATAGTAAAATTAACGAATCAGAGCAGAAACAAGCTGTCGAAGAGTCACAAGTAGATAATACATTGAAACAGGGTGGTACAGAGCTTTTCAGACGATTTCGAGAACCATGCCAGAAGGTCCCAGATCTAAGTAAAAAAACTATGGTGAAAGAGAGCCATCAAGAACTCCTCATAGAGGAGGAGGATTCAATACACCTAGAGGGGGAAGAGATTGAGGAAGAGTTGCTGGAGGATGAAAATGCATCATTGTGTTCATCCAAAACTGAGCACAGTGATGAAAAGGACAAAGACAGTCTATCTGAATTTGGGTCAGAGCAACCCAATAATGATACACAAACCGATGTTGTATCCAGTGATGTGTTGGATGTGGTCCAACACGACGAGGCAATTGACATAGAACCTAAGGTGCATGAGACTGAGAAGGATGCTGAAAGCCACACACCCTCACTTGAAGAGAAGGTTCCGGATCCCTTCCCAAGCAAAGAGCCGAAATACAGTGACGATGTGTTGAGGCTGACACTATTGCGAAACCACTTTAAGGAGGAGGATATGGAGCGCTTCCAAAAGATTCTGGGTCTTCAGAACCTCTTTAGGGTGGAGTTCCTGTTCTCTGACCTGCAGCAGGAGGCTGGTGAGTTTATTGAGGAAGCTGCCATCTTGGACGACTTCCAGGAGTTGGTGTTCACCCTGCGTCAGAAGTACTCAAACGCCAGAAACAATGCTCCCTTGGCAGTTGGCAGTCAACTACACCCGGACACAGGTAATATTGCTTTTTTTTAATCAGTTTAAGTTCATGTCAGAGTACAGGAGAATTAAAACCTTTTGTTAAATGCATATTTGGAAAGTGTCATACATTGCTAATGACATGATAATAATGCCTGGAAATTTGGTTTGCATAATAAGCTGTATTTATGAAATGCCCAAGAAGTACAACAAAGTAAATAGTCGTCTGTTGACAGAACAAATACACATCCTGACAATGCCAGTGAGATTGCAATGCATGAAAATGTACTCACTGTTTGAACCTCTGAATGTTTCAAAAGATGGGGAAATGTCTGATGCGGAGGAAGAGAAGACATTCCTGCACTCTGTGGAGGACACAGACAAGGATAACCTCACTGTGACAGAGACGGGTGAAGAGACTAACACACCTGAGAAGCCTGCCCATGATGAAGGTCACAAGAGACCAGATATGGACATTGAGGAGGATGGCAGGTACTTTAACAGAAACAAAGACAATCAGCTGAGCTCTAAAACTCCAGAAGAAATCCAGAGGGGCCCTCAAACTATTTTGGAAAACATCTTGGACATGGGACTTAGTGTAGGCATGGATCACCCTCCCTCAGGTAGGTGTTCATTAAACTTTCCCTACTTTTGAGATTGTGGTGAGATGTAAACTGTGTATGCATTAACCTAATTTTCTTGTGCTGTATTTCCAGGATCTCTGGAGTCACCTCCTGTCACTGATTTCCATGAAGAGAAGCACAGTGGTTCATCATTCGTATCAGTGCTAATTTTATCTGGTAGTCTCGTCACCCTGTTTTATGAGTACCTTGGAATATATGGTGTTATGGTAAGTTACTTCATGTATTTCTCTCTAATGAATGGGCTTGCCTTCCTATTGTAATTGACTAACTGCCTGCATTTAGTGCTTAGGACTCAAGGATTCATACTTATTTTATGTAGCCTAATTATTGCTGGGACAATGCATGTATTTGTTTTGTTTTTTCAGGGGGGCTTTTTGCTTAAAATTCAACATATTTTGGGTTCTACAGAGGTGTGTTCAGTTGAACGTTTGCTACGTTGCGGAATGGTTTGTACTAAACGACACTTTCCACAAAACGTTATTGTATGTTCTTGAACAGACAGGTACGTTTGCTCCAGTTTGATGAGTGTGAAGAGGTGTGGCTTGAAGCAATGATGCCGCGTTCAAAGCTACTGAGAACTCGTGCCGCGTTCAAAACAACTGGGAAGTCGTAACTGGGAACTCGGAAAAATCAGACTTCAGTGCGTTCAAAACAACTGGGAAATCGAAAGAAAAAAAAACGAGCTCCGACTGGGAAAAATCGATTTGAACGGTCATCCAACTCGGAATTCCAAGTTGGGAGCTCGAGCCTCTTTCTAGAGCTTCGACTTTCCGACCTGAAAATCACTGATGGTATGATTCGACCCAGTTGTCTTGAAAGCATCATGAGTGTGGTATTTAAAGGGCAGTGGCCATGCTGACAGCCTTCCCCAACCCAACCCTTCCCCGTTTGTCAACTGGTCGTTGAGTACGGCACCGTTTCCGTTCAATTAAAAGTTCCAGAACGTCAAAACATACTGAATGCAGCCCGGGTTCATTGATCCGTCCCCCTTTTTTTGTTGACATGTTCTAGTGAAGTGTAGGCTGAAGTTCAGTGTCCACAGCCGGTATTTGGCTTATTGAATGGGGTATAAATGACACCGTCGCTCGTGTTATACGGCTTTGTCAATTTGGCGTAGAAAGTAATCGCGTTCAAAACTCTAAAAGGAGGCTAGTAGACAGGTTGCTGGAGAAGCAGAGCCAGCGTTCAAGTTAACGTTAGCTAACTAGCAAGTTTATTAGGTAGCTAGCAAGATAGGGACATATTGTCCTCTCCTGGGTAGTCACGATAACCACGATGAAGGATCCTCTCGAGTAGTCGACTACGTTGATCAGTTGGTGAAACAAGGATTTTCGGATTTCCGCAAGCGAGTTGCATTGTACGTCACTAGCCAAGCTAACTAGCTAGCCTAGTTAACATCAGATAGCCAGCTCAGCTGTCAAACTAAGGTACGGTAGCGTCGCGATGGATTCGGAAGAAACAACCCCTTTACCCACGTTGCCCCTGATGACAGAATCTGATCAACTGTCTGTCTTCTACGTATTATTTCTAACGGAACTTCAATATGTAAGTAGTTGGCTACAGTGTTGATACTGCCAATGTATGGAGGATATCTTGTTGAACTCTTTCTATAATAGCTATTGTAGCTAGCTGGCTAGTCAAGTCTTAGGCCGCCGTATGGCTGGCTGGCTTGCTAGCTACATTGAAACTGAATCATGTTGGCAGCTTCAATGTCTTGGGGAATGATCTTGTCCTCCAATACCTAATGCGTTTCCCCAATAGTTGCAGCCTAGAATGGATCACTAGATTGCTCTTTAGTTTCGATGTTTTCAAAGTGGAAGTTGCCAGCCCTCTTCCTCATAGAAAACTAAATGTCACACTTACCAGACTGGCAGTATCTGTTCTTCCTCTATCTGTGTCTCAGATAGAGAGGTGTCTTCAAGTTGTTGAATTTTACTTTGACATGTTCCCCTTGCATAACTATCACCTGAGGTTACAGGCCATTTAAATATACATGTGGCTCATGTCTAGTGATGTTATGCAATAATCTGTTTTGTTTATTGCCCATCTTACAGGGTGAAAGGGCACACGATGCAATCTTTTGCACTCTAAATCCTAGGCCTAAGGCTTGTTAGTTAGATCCATGCTGTGGTGATTCATTTAGCTAATCCCTGAATTTCACTGAGCGACTGCGATGGAAGTTCTGTGTTGTGCCTGTATGCCACGTGCATTGTGCAAAGGTCTCCATGGTTGGACAGTGTTAGGGCTCCAGGCCAATCCAATCCCCATTGATTACGTAAGGTTAAGGCAAATATTCTCTCTTTATTGATTTTGATCAACAACTGGGTTATAGGCTAGGTCTATTTCTAAACCCACCTTGATTTGATCTGAAGATGTGCCTCTTCGCATTGACTGAGAGGGTGCTCAGTGGGATAACCATTAGCCATGCTTTTAAACAGAACACTGTAATGCCTGATGGTTTAGTTCAGTGTTTAACATCACTGATTTTCCTCTGTCATCTCAGCCCAACTATTGCCCAACTTATTTGCTAAGCCAGACATGTGCTGTAGTAACACTGATTGGGCCTGTGTGTCTCCCCAGATGGTCACCTGCCTGCCAGAGCAATGGAAGCCAGGTCCAGACTTCTACGGCGTGTCCTGGGAACCCGTGCTGGTCACTGCAGGTGCCGGGGTCATCGGCTTCCTCTTCCTCTTCTGGAGGAGCATTCTATCTGTAAGTCCTTGTTGTACAGTCACTGCTTTCATAATTTCATCATCTGAATGCTTCATGTTATTCTATGATGTATCGTATGCTACTGTTGAGGAGGCTGTTTGCTGCCACTTTTCTTTTCCCTTTCTCACAGGTCAAAAGCAAGTCATATCTAAGTAAGTTCTTCTACTTCTCTCTGGCAATTTATGGTGCATAGTGAATCCTCATTCATATTGCCTACAGGCTGGTGTCCTTGTCACGTGTAAACCATGTCTGAATTCATACTCTTGTCATATGTTTTATTAGCTACTGAAAAAGAGATGACGGACAGGATGGAAAGGCTTGAACAAGAGAAGAAGGAGATACTCCAAAAGGTCGCTGAACTGCAGCAACAGGTAAGTTGCAGAGACTTTTCACTGACCAAGATCCAGAATTTTGGGTTCAACGTGAATTAAGGGACATAACAATGTTTTGATAATGTATTTCTACTGGGTTCCCCTCAGGGCGAAGAACTTAAAGAAAAGCAAAAGCAATCTGAGAAATCTGCCACTTCATCTCTGGAGAAGATCCAGGAACTGGAGGTGAGTCTCTAGGAAATATTATCTTGATCACACATCATTGTCATGCTGACTATTTTTTATTTATTTTTTGTTTTCCATAGTGTTTGAATTGACACACCATTTTATTTTTCTATCCAATAGAATATTGTGCAAGAGATGGAGAGACAAAATGAGCGCCTGGACAAGGAAAATAACTTACTCGCCAGATCCTTTGACGATGAGCGAGCCAATACTGCGAAACATGAAGATGTGGTGAGTAGTATTGAGCGATTAGCCGGAATAAAAATGTTCCCCCTGGTTTCAAAACAACCAATTGTCTGACATCTGTTCAATTCTTTTAATTCAATTAAGTTTGTTTTATTCTGTGAGCTCAATGTGCCGTTTCTCTAGAGAAATCAAATCAAGCACAAACTTTGAGACGTTGTAGGAAGTTTTAATTTTCAACAGGCAAATAAATATTCAACATAGTTTAGTGCAGAAAATTTGGTAATTGACTACAGAGAGGAAGGGACAGCCTGCAAACGAGAGAGATAACTGCCCTAGAGAGCAGTTGCTTCTTGATGTAGACAGCATAGGCAGCTACTATTAGCCAGCTACTAGCCTAAATAGGATGACTCGTTGGTGAGCACAGAGAAAGATGGTTGTCATTATGCTTATCATTATCTTTGCCCATAGATGTCTGAAATGGACAAAACCATTGAGAAGTTGAAGCGCAGCAGGAAGAAGACCCAGGACGCACTCTCAAAGGTATAGTTCATATAAGTGAACATGCCCAATGAAAACATGTCAAATATGTTAACATTGCAACAATCAAATGTAAAGTGTCCATTTCCTTTAATTATCCTTGTCATTGAATCTGTAGGCTACCATTCTGATGGATGAAGCCAAGCTCCGTGAAGATGCCCAGAAAGTCCAGCGCCAGGTTCTGGAGAAGGATATTGCCACCCTGAAGGAGGAGAACCTCTCAGTGAGTACCAATACAGAACAACGATTCACACTTGAAGCCTCATGTGTAGGACTCATTGGCCATGCAGGGCCTGCATAGAACTGTCTTTATGACCTCATTTCCTTGTTACAGCTGCACCATGCTGCCAAGTTGTGGGAGGAGAAGCACAGGGAGATGAGCGAGCAGATCAAAGTCTACCAGAAGTCCCAGAAAGACCTGGAGGATTCCCTCGTTCAGAAGGACCACAACGTTGAGGTGAGTTTTTTTTTTAAAGTTACGATATTGTTACACCGCATCAATTCCTTTTCACACCTTCTCAAACGCACCCTGATGACAAAGAAACATGGCACCTGTATTATGTTAAGAAAAATCCTTCTTCTTGACTGATTCCAGGGGAAAAGTGTAGTGTATAATTGGTGGTTCTCTCCCTCTCTGGCAGGTTTTGTCTGACCTGCTAGGAGACCTGGAGGCCTGCGATGACCTGAAAGATGGAGTTGTGGCTAACGGGGAAGCTTCTAATGGTAAGTCATCTGACACAGTGTCCTAATCAGAGGAGGCTGGTGGGAGGAGCTATAGGAGGACGGGCTCCTTGTAATGTCTAGAATGGAATAAATTGAATGGTACCAAACACATCAAACACATGGAGACAACGTGCTTGACTCCGTTCCATTTATCCCATTACAGTGAGCCAGTCCTCCTATAGCTCCTCCCACCAGCCTTCTCTTATGTTTTTTACATTGGATAAAAGTAGAGACTCAGAGCTAGAAAATGGTATATCATACACTACAGTTGAAGAACAATGGGAAATTAATTCTGCTTTGAAAGTTGATAAACTTGTAACCCCACTTTTGAGAAAATGATCAATTTAATGTTTTGGTACACCTACTGGAGAGCTCCTCTTTGTCTATACCCATTCAGCATCGTTCACACCCTCTTAAGCCAATGCCCCACCCCTCTCTTTAAGGATTCACATGTGCTAAACAGTGAGTACTGTAGTGTACTAAACAACCAAAGATTTCAAGACTAAAGGGTAGTTTATACTACGTCTATCGACGTGTCTGTAGACAGTTGTCGCAGTGACATCATGAACATTCTATTGTCGTCCGACATCAAACTTGTCGTTGTCGTTATGAAAAAGTATAAACCCAAAAACAACAGGCTGCATGACATCAGCAGCCTGGTGGTCCAAAATAGCAGAACTGTTGTATTTGAACACCAATAAACCCATCTGTTTAAAAATGAATTTAGTTATGTCAATCTAGCAAACCAGGCAACTAAAAGCACATTTCTAAACAATGTTTTGGTTAGTTTCTAGCTTGTTAGCAGCTAGCTAATGTTAAGTTAGCTGGCTAGCCAGTTCAAATAATGACCATATCATATAGCTGACAACGTCTTAACTTTAGCTAATTTGTATTCATTATTACAGGAAAATAAACTCCCAACAAGATCATTATTTACAAGTTAAGGGTGAGATAATTACAGGAAATAGCTTACGGTTGTGAGTGTGATGAAGTAAAAGCAGGGCATTCTACCGGAGAATTTTAGAACTTGGACACTGTCTCGTTGGCCTAACGTTATATCCAAATTTGACTTTTGTGCCGGTCATGTTCTTCACATTACCATCTCTGGTAAACACACACATTATATAAAATAAAATCAACGTTTATTTGTCACATGCACAGGATACAGAAGGTGTAAACGGTACAGTGAAATGGTTACTTGCATAGTGGAGTCTTTTGTTTAGACTAGCTAGCTAAACAATTAACCATAATTCCAACTCGACGTTACTACCCTGTATGAATCTGCTGGTAGCTAAAACTAACCAACTAGGTTCAATGCTACCTAGCTAACATTAGGCTATATCTAGCGATGCAAATGGCTCTGAGATACAAGTAATATTACTACACAGATCATACACGTAACGTTAGCTAGCGAGCCAGCCGGCTAACAGTAAGCTTTATTTTGCAATGAAAACGACTTTCTGACAAAATTAGAAATTTATAATATCGTAAAATGTAGCTAGCTAGACTCTCTTACCTGAATACATGGCTGAACACTTCTCCCTCTGTCACGGATGCCATGGTTGCCCTTAGTTTGAAGATGTAATCCGGAGACGGGTGTTTTATACAACTGCCTTCTTTCTGTGTGTTCTCTTTTCGACTCCCTCCACATATTTGCAATCAAACAACAACATTTTCTCCATCTCCTTAGCTATCATACTATGCTTCCACTGGATTTCAAAGCTCGGTTCTCCAGAAAGTGGAGAGCATCTTTCAAAAAAGCGAAGTTAGAAAGGATTACCTACACATACTGAGAAGCTCATGTTATAGACAGAAGCGTGCTACATGGCAGACCAATCCAAACTCATCTCATTATGTCCAGCCCATCCATTATCTCAGCCAATCATGGCTGGCAGGAAGGTTCCTGTCTTTTTCCGTGGCTAAACCAGCTAGGCTCGTAATTTAACAATTGTATTCGTATTTACAGATGGCATACAAGTTTGTTATTAAGGCACATGAAAGTTCACATGTTCCAGAAGGCATTTCTGCCAAAAAACTAATTTTGATAAATGTTTACATTCAAATGCCTCTCCTGTGAAGTAGTGACGTACGACATACGCCTAGTTTCCTGAAACGTGTCAGTAATGTGTTTACAATTATGTTTGATCCATTTCAGACAAGCAGACCGTCATCCAAAACCGCATTAAGCAAATGATGGACGTCTCTCGGGTAAGACTGAGTTCATTCTTGAACGGACCAACATTTCTGTGTACCTGAAAGCCAATAAAACTGATGCTCAGAACCAAGAAGTGTGTCAACTCTTACGCTAACTTTTGGCACAACTTACCACAGGTCCAGACCACTCTGTCTGTCGTGGAGGAAGAGCGCGATCGCTTCATGACCAAGCTGCTGAACGAAGAGAAGGCCAGGAAAGAGCTGGAAGGTATGTCAAGCACTTTATCCCAGCAACTAGAGTTTGAAATGCATCACTCCCTTTTCTCTCTCAACACTATCAACTTGTTATCGCCACAGAACAATATCAGCAGCTGGAGCATGACATCTTGTTGGTGAAAAGTGACAGGAACCACCTGGAGAACCAGTACAACACCCTGCAGCAGAAGAACGAGATCATGACCGAGATGTACCAGCAGAAGGAGAATGCTTTGCAGCAGTAAGTAGAACCAGAAGCAGTTCAGTTCATGCGTTAATACCGTTGTAGGGTTTGTTCTCAGTGGCACCACAGCATGTAAAAAACATTGTTCAATGTCTTTTACTGTATTCTTTTATTGTGAAGTTTGAGGTTTTCAAATGCACTTTAAATTGAGAGTTTGATTTAATTTGTGTGTCACCTTTCAGGAAGCTGACCAAGGAGGAGTTTGAGCGCCGCAACAAGAAAGACATGCTGACGGAGGTGGACGGCAAGGCCCTAGAGGCCGAGGAGGAGGTCAAGGTGTATAGGCAGCGCATCAAAGAGATCCAGGACGAGCTGAAACGGACCGAGAAGTCCTACAAAGCCCAGATGATTGAGCAGGAGCAGAAATCCCACGAGAGCTGGGTATGTACAGTACAACTTTATTAGTCCATTTGTTACAGAAACAATGGAAATGTGTCTTTTTCTCATTTCTCAACCCCCACCGATGGCACATACAGTAGGACAAGAACATTTTTTTAAGTCTACTGTTTGGCCAGTAAATTGTAAGGTGAATTTAGTCCAAAACAGGAGATTTTAAATGTCTCTCTTTCTTCTCTCTAGGTGATTGCACGTGCTGCTGAGCGAGCTCTGTTGGACGAGAAGAAGGAAAGAACTAACCTTCGTAACAAGTGAGTGCAACACTAATACAACAGACTCAATTGGGCTATACCAATGCAGGGCTCTAGGCTTATTCAGTTGATGGCACCAGCACATGATTTGGTCGCACCAATTTTTCGCCACTGCACAGAGATGGTGACCTGACCTGTGTCCCATAATGTACCTGCATTCCATACAGAACCAGGCTAATAATGACTAGCCATCTTTTAAATTAGCATGCCCTTGTGTTCCTACATTGATTTGGATATATTTACTCAGGGTTCAACGTGAACTGTTTTATAAATGCATTGGGAAGCATGCTTTCTCTCTATATTCAGCTAGTAATAGGCTACATTTGGATATTAATTAATGATGTATTAAAAAGCTGTATGATATAATTTTGCAATGTAAGACATTATTCTATTCGTTAGAATTGCATTGCATTAATTGCAGAATTTTGTTTCTAAAGTAGGCCTGTCTTTTAAATATTTTTTTACATCTCAAAATAGGACATTGTCCCTTTAAGACAGACTGCTTTTCAAAGGAGAGGTCAATATGTCTACAGTAGGCCAGCCAAGAGGAATGCTAGTTTTCTTTTTGTACACTATCAACAGTAGCCAGTATAAGAAAAAATAATAATCCTGTGACAAGTAAGACAACTGAGATGGTAGTCTAGGATTGAAAAAGTAAGATATTTCATCTAACATATCCAGGGAATGCATGGTTGGTATTTTGATGTGCAACCTGTCGAAATAGAATCCAAAATGATCCGATTTATTTTTGGACAACTTTGTGCATATTGGCCTAGGCTATATTATTCACCACCTGAGGATGTGGGAACTCAAAACACTTATCTAGATTGCTAACTCTAAATATGATAATGTTACTAGATAGCCAATGTAGGCTAATTCATTAATATATTAGCGAATGTAATGTCCTACAAAAACCTTCCAGCTCTAGGCCTATACAGGCTACTTGATGTAGCCTTATTCACCGCAAATGGCGCGCTCCGCGGCGCATCAAAACCATATACTACATAGCCTACTCCAGTTGTAAAGTGGTGCCATGAACTCCATATTGAGAGGTGAGAAATGTAATTATATACTCACAGAAAGCAGTGACTCTCCTCTCTGTAACTAGAACAACAGTAGTTGCTTTGCAAACTGTATTTTTCCCGCAATTGCATTTTAAGCAACGGTCATATGGTTGTGCTTATTAGAATGCACCTCTCACCTATTGCTCACTCAAAATGGGGACAGGCAGATCCGTTCATATGGTCTATTTTTGGTCAATTGCACAATCATAATAATAAAGAAAAAATAAGCAAATTGTGAACCAAAAACTAACGTGACCGGCTAAAAAAGATTCACTGGCACCCTAGCAACCAATTTAAAATTGGTCGCACTGCCAAGTCAAAGGGTCGCAAATGCAAGTGTTTTGGTCGCAGTTTTGAGCCCTGAAATGCAGTAAGCTATATTAGTCTAGGTTTGGAGGTACAGTATTGAGAAGCTAAATGCCTGTTCTCTTTTTTACCCTAGACTGACTGACATGTCCAGCAAGCTGAATGAGCTCCGTAGGCCTCTGTTCAAGCCCACCCCTGGGATGGCTCCCATGCCTCTCCGACGAGGTAAGAACCAATCCTCAGAGTTCCCTTTGTTATTTCGTGCTGGCGACTGGCACGTCTGTGGCGCATTCAGTAAGGCAAAATCATCAGAATATAACTTGCAGATAGAAATGAAATGAATAGGGCTGAAATGACTCTATTCTTGAAGACAGAGAATCATATATTTATATCTGAACGTTCTGTAACGTTCCTGAACTGCCCACTGTGTTTCATACCTGGCAGGGCTAATTTCTATTGTCTTGTCGGTTGGATTTCAGCTGTGACTGCATTTCAGATTAGTTCTTGGATGTTTTGACTGTCTGATACCCCATCTGCTGTTTGATCTCTACTTTCTGAAATGCATGTTTTCCTGATGTTTTGATTTGAATTCCTTGAAGCTGGTCCAATGTGGAGAGACTGACAGCGGTATTTGGCTGTGTGGTGTTGGTTGTGTGTTTTGTTGTTTTAAAGGTTGTTAAATGCTTTTGCTAAACAGGTGATTCGTACGGGCCCTCACCTGTGAGTGGCGGTGCCCCGTCCCCCCCTCTCATGATAGAGGGTCCCGGGCGCCCCCCCTCTGCCCCCGTGGGGCGAAGGAACGAGCTCTACGGTGAGACTCCTGAACCCCCGCCCCGGACAGCCTTGGCCCTTCTGATTGGCCGAGCAGTACCATCCCTCAGCCAATCAAACCCCTCCTTGTTCACCCTTGTATGCCCCGACTCGCTGCTCTCTTTTTCACCTTTCCTTTTTCCCTTTCTTCACCTCCCCTGTGGTGTTTCAATCATTTCCCTTCCTTATTTTTCTTCCTACTGCTCTCATCCTGCTCCTAGTTGGTACCCACCTCTGACCTTTTCCTCTTCCTTTTTTTTGTCTTCTGATTACTTCCTTTTTGATTTTCTATGACATTCTTTCATGTCTCTTTCACTGCCATCTTTTATCCCTCTACTGCCATACCCATCTTTCTCACCTGTGTTTGAGTGTCCAGATGATCCAGAATGTTCCCATGCCTTCATTTGCTTTCACAATTTGGAATAACGCCTCTTGCTCTTCCAGTACTATGGTGTTGTTTTTGTTGTGTTCAGCTGTTGTGAGATCATATGTAAGGGGCAACTCGTTAGGTTACAAAAGCTTTAGCCTTTGCTTTATTTTTTTAAACCATATGAGATGTGGTATTAATATTTATCCGCAAGTGTTCTAGTTCTAGAAGAGTAATATCCTACCATGACATGACCAAACATTTTCCTCGGACTGCAAATAGACCAGACTTTGCTATAAATAGATGGTAGCATGAACCAGCAACGTGGTCTAGAGTCAGGTGTCTAATGACAACCAGGAGAGCCAAGATTAGCATTCGAGAAGATGAGAATATGGCATCACCGTGTATTTTGTGTCCAATAGGACCACGACCTCCATCTGACCCTCACGGCCGTTACCCTCCTGACCACAAACACCCAGTGGCTGCTAGACCTGGTAGAGATTATATTTGTAGTCACTGAGGGTTGATGTAGTATTATTCCCTAATTGTGCCCTTATCCTAAATCTCCTCTAATCATTCTGCCCTTTGCTCCTCCACAGACACAATGGCCCCACGTACATCCTCACTAAGCAATCTGGACTGCTCGGTAAGTTTCAGTCAATTTCCACAGCTTATTTGTTTCCTTATTACGTAACCATGTCAGGAGGGAAAAAGTGACATGGAACTAGAGAAGGAAAGTTTCAATGAAACCCCTTCAGTACTTACTGTGGTGTGTGCATCTCTCCCCCCTGTTCCTCCATCATGTGGGTGTGTTTGCACTAAAGCAGACCACTCCACTAGAGGCAGAGTCACAGGCTGAGGCCCAGGCCTCCACAGAGAACCCAGAGGCAGTGAGTATTATGTTCCAGGCAGCGGTGGCAGGGATTGCGGATGTGTGTGTGAGCATGCTTACCCCAGCTGTGGATCAGTGGCTGGAGTGGCAGGCAGCTGGGTAGTGGCTTCACATGGTTGTCAGACTTAACATTGCTGGCTGGATTCTGACATGCGTAGTTACTTGTCTTAAGGCGCTTACAGACGGGCCTCGGTAAACGGCAATTGAACCTCGAGAAAATCCTGTAGAGACCAGCGGTCCCCGGTTGTTGTCAGTTCGAAGGTTGTCATTAAAACATTGTTTGATTGGTTGGCAAGATGAACTCTGCTCATTGGTCACGCATGTGCCGCTCAAGACTTCAGCTAATTTAATATTTTGAAGCCTTGAGTGCCGAGCCAGCGGCGCCGCTCACTGGAGTGAGTACCACGACCCGAGCCACTAGCAAAACTGCTTGCGTTTTGCCGCTCTACTCCCATTTGAAGTCTGATACCTTCGCCGCTTACCGCGGCCCGTCTGTAAGCGCTTTTACATGTTCCTTACATTAAGACACCCTCCCTCTGACCCCCACTGAGTGAAATGGTGGCACTGTTCTACAAAGCCTTAACTTCAGCACAACTACATGATGGATATCTCAAATCGTTATAATTTAAAGCTGTGTGTGTGTTGAGGTAATGCTTTGTGAAAACGGTCTGATTCCGAAATCGGGTGTTTGGGAACTCTGTGTAAACTTGATATTGTGGGTTATTGTTGTCTTTCTCAATGTGAATGATTGTGTTTGTTTTGTTCAACCTAACGAAACGTTTGAATCACATGAACGGGGTCTTCACTGTTGGTTGGCAGGCAACAGGGCTACAAGCACATGGACATATTGCTATTCTTCGTTTAATTTTGTGTTCCTCCAGATCTCTCGACCTCAGGGTCCTTGGTCCCTCTTGTCTATCCCATCAGCTCCCCCCCGACTAAGGCCCCGGCCCCTCGAACAATCATCAGCTATCCCTCTGGAACTCTGCTACCGTCCCCTCCCGGCCCCGGCCCCGACCACATCCCTCCTCCCCCACCCCACCCTTCATGCCCCCGCTGTACCGACCAGAAACACGGACACTCAGGCATGGCCCCCCGGACCCCCGACCATGTCCAGCAAGCTGAATGAGCTCCGTAGGCCTCTGTTCAAGCCCACCCCTGGGATGGCTCCCATGCCTCTCCGACGAGGTAAGAACCAATCCTCAGAGTTCCCTTTGTTATTTCGTGCTGGCGACTGGCACGTCTGTGGCGCATTCAGTAAGGCAAAATCATCAGAATATAACTTGCAGATAGAAATGAAATGAATAGGGCTGAAATGACTCTATTCTTGAAGACAGAGAATCATATATTTATATCTGAACGTTCTGTAACGTTCCTGAACTGCCCACTGTGTTTCATACCTGGCAGGGCTAATTTCTATTGTCTTGTCGGTTGGATTTCAGCTGTGACTGCATTTCAGATTAGTTCTTGGATGTTTTGACTGTCTGATACCCCATCTGCTGTTTGATCTCTACTTTCTGAAATGCATGTTTTCCTGATGTTTTGATTTGAATTCCTTGAAGCTGGTCCAATGTGGAGAGACTGACAGCGGTATTTGGCTGTGTGGTGTTGGTTGTGTGTGTTGTTGTTTTAAAGGTTGTTAAATGCTTTTGCTAAACAGGTGATTCGTACGGGCCCTCACCTGTGAGTGGCGGTGCCCCGTCCCCCCCTCTCATGATAGAGGGTCCCGGGCGCCCCCCCTCTGCCCCCGTGGGGCGAAGGAACGAGCTCTACGGTGAGACTCCTGAACCCTCGCCCCGGACAGCCTTGGCCCTTCTGATTGGCCGAGCAGTACCATCCCTCAGCCAATCAAACCCCTCCTTGTTCACCCTTGTATGCCCCGACTCGCTGCTCTCTTTTTCACCTTTCCTTTTTCCCTTTCTTCACCTCCCCTGTGGTGTTTCAATCATTTCCCTTCCTTATTTTTCTTCCTACTGCTCTCATCCTGCTCCTAGTTGGTACCCACCTCTGACCTTTTCCTCTTCCTTTTTTTTGTCTTCTGATTACTTCCTTTTTGATTTTCTATGACATTCTTTCATGTCTCTTTCACTGCCATCTTTTATCCCTCTACTGCCATACCCATCTTTCTCACCTGTGTTTGAGTGTCCAGATGATCCAGAATGTTCCCATGCCTTCATTTGCTTTCACAATTTGGAATAACGCCTCTTGCTCTTCCAGTACTATGGTGTTGTTTTTGTTGTGTTCAGCTGTTGTGAGATCATATGTAAGGGGCAACTCGTTAGGTTACAAAAGCTTTAGCCTTTGCTTTATTTTTTTAAACCATATGAGATGTGGTATTAATATTTATCCGCAAGTGTTCTAGTTCTAGAAGAGTAATATCCTACCATGACATGACCAAACATTTTCCTCGGACTGCAAATAGACCAGACTTTGCTATAAATAGATGGTAGCATGAACCAGCAACGTGGTCTAGAGTCAGGTGTCTAATGACAACCAGGAGAGCCAAGATTAGCATTCGAGAAGATGAGAATATGGCATCACCGTGTATTTTGTGTCCAATAGGACCACGACCTCCATCTGACCCTCACGGCCGTTACCCTCCTGACCACAAACACCCAGTGGCTGCTAGACCTGGTAGAGATTATATTTGTAGTCACTGAGGGTTGATGTAGTATTATTCCCTAATTGTGCCCTTATCCTAAATCTCCTCTAATCATTCTGCCCTTTGCTCCTCCACAGACACAATGGCCCCACGTACATCCTCACTAAGCAATCTGGACTGCTCGGTAAGTTTCAGTCAATTTCCACAGCTTATTTGTTTCCTTATTACGTAACCATGTCAGGAGGGAAAAAGTGACATGGAACTAGAGAAGGAAAGTTTCAATGAAACCCCTTCAGTACTTACTGTGGTGTGTGCATCTCTCCCCCCTGTTCCTCCATCATGTGGGTGTGTTTGCACTAAAGCAGACCACTCCACTAGAGTCAGAGTCACAGGCTGAGGCCCAGGCCTCCACAGAGAACCCAGAGGCAGTGAGTATTATGTTCCAGGCAGCGGTGGCAAGGATTGCGGATGTGTGTGTGAGCATGCTTACCCCAGCTGTGGTTCAGTGGCTGGAGTGGCAGGCAGCTGGGTAGTGGCTTCACATGGTTGTCAGACTTAACATTGCTGGCTGGATTCTGACATGCGTAGTTACTTGTCTTAAGGCGCTTACAGACGGGCCTCGGTAAACGGCAATTGAACCTCGAGAAAATCTTGTAGAGACCAGCGGTCCCCGGTTGTTGTCAGTTCGAAGGTTGTCATTAAAACATTGTTTGATTGGTTGGCAAGATGAACTCTGCTCATTGGTCAACCATGTGCCGCTCAAGACTTCAGCTAATTTAATATTTTGAAGCCTTGAGTGCCGAGCCAGCGGCGCCGCTCACTGGAGTGAGTACCACGACCCGAGCCACTAGCAAAACTGCTTGCGTTTTGCCGCTCTACTCCCATTTGAAGTCTGATACCTTCGCCGCTTACCGCGGCCCGTCTGTAAGCGCTTTTACATGTTCCTTACATTAAGACACCCTCCCTCTGACCCCCACTGAGTGAAATGGTGGCACTGTTCTACAAAGCCTTAACTTCAGCACAACTACATGATGGATATCTCAAATGTGTTATCATTTAAAGCTGTGTGTGTGTTTGAGGTTAATGCTTTGTGGAAACGGTCCTGATTCCGAAATCAGTGTGATTCTTGTGGAACTGTGTAACTTGACTTATTGTGGGTTATTGTTGTCTTTCTCACATGTGCATGATTGTGTTTGTTTTGTTCTAACCTAACGAAACTGTTTGAATCACATGAAAGGGGTCTTCACTGTTGGTGCCAGCAACAGGGCTACAAGCACAATGGACATATTGCTATTCTTCGTTTTAATGTTTCTTGTTTGTTGTTCCTCCAGAACTCTCGACCTCAGGGTCCTGGCTCCCTCCTGGTCTCTCCCATCAGCTCCCCCCCCGACTCAGGCCCCGGCCCCCTCAGACCAATCATCAGCTATCCCTCCGGACTCTGCTACCGTCCCCCTCCCGGCCCCGGCCCCCACCACATCCCTCCTCCCCCACCCCCACCCTTCATGCCTCCCGTGTACCGACCAGACAACGGACACTCAGGCATGATGCCTCCCGGACCCCCACCGCCTAATGGACACCCGCCTGGTCCCATGATCCCACCCGAATATCGGCCTCCACCACCTGGTGCTTACAGTCCCCCTTCCCCACACCACCGGGGCCCTCCTCCACCTTCTCACTATGGACCGGTGCCTCCCCCATTCGGTAGGTGGTGAATTCTGGCCCCCAGCTTTTACCTCAAGTTGACTCTTTGCTATTAGTATTTCAGTTGTGGTTAGTAATGCTATTGTTATGTTGGTACTATGGTATTATATTTGTTTTCCCTTCTACCTAGGTGTTTCCAGCGGCACTCCTATGGCCCGACCCATGGGACCCCCACGTACCTACGTGCACTATGGACCACGTGATCATTCCATCCCACCCCAGCACCTGCCCCCTTGGGCGGCCCCATACCCTCCTCACGGCGGCCCCAGAGACTTCCCTGGGCAGCCCCCCATGCAGCCACAGGCCCCCCATGGCCATGACTCTTCTGTGGGCCCCCAGCCCGGCATTGGCTCCCAGGGCCAGGGGCAAGACTACAGCTCCCAGCAGGCAACAGCTGCCCCCCAGGACTCAGTCAGCTCTGCCATGGCAGAGCCTTAGACACCCACCAACCGTTAACGACCCGGCTACATTTAATCAACCACGATTCATCTCTTTATTTTTCTTAAAGTATCTTTTCTTAAAGTATCTTAAATGTTAGTGTTCCTATTAAAGCATCAGAAAATCAATGTCTTATGTTTCGTATGTTTGAGTAGTGACTGAGGCTTGCCACTCTGCAAGAAGGCCTATTGTGCAATAACATTTATATTGTATGACTGAGGATTTTCAGTTTTTAAAAGGGTATTATGTTGGTTTTGTATTAATTTCACAATGTTATGGAAATTATTAAAAATAAAGGGGCCCCAAGCTTTTTGGGTTGCTTGCGCTGGTTCTAATCCCCGAGCCGACTAGGTGAAAAATCTGTTGATGTGCCCTTAAGCAAGGCACTTAACCCTAATTGATCATGTAAGTCGCTTTAGATAAGAGCGTCTGCTAAATGACTAAAAATGTTTACAAAAAATGTATCAATCATTTCAGAAGTACAGTATTATCTTAACTCTTCCCAAAACAGTCTTCAGAATGAACTGAAAAGGAAGGTTGTGTAAATTGATAGTCAGAGATGTATTTACTATTCTTAGGATATTTTATTAATAAAGCTGGTAAAAAGTACTGCAGTTATGTTATCTATTGTTCATATGAAGCATATGACAACTCTTCAGATCCATTTTAGTTTAAAGGAAATGTCTGATAGTGCTCAATGTATTTGTTTTGTATGGATAGCTATATTACATGTGAAAAGCCATTAATCACCCACTAACTGAACACCTGTCATATTACCTTCACATTTGTTTGTCTTTTTTTTGTTCTTATGTTACATCAGGGATGCATCACATTTGTCAATTTATTTTCAAGTAAAAAAAGAACCTGATATTTCTTGCACATGATTAAAGTCCGTATTTGCATTACATTTATATCATTGCGCTCAGATAATGTATGCTTTGGTGAGAAATATTTGTTTAACTCTGAGTAGGTCCCAGAGCGTTTCTTTGTACCCACAGACAATATTTACTGCTACCAAAACACTTGACTGATTTGATTATTAATGGCATATCTGGAATGGTATTATGTACACTGTTATCAAGGCTGTCAAATGATTGTATAGTTGGGCTCTGCTCTGCCTTATACAGTATGTGAAGCCATAAATGGAGTTACTGAAGGTTAATCATGATGACTAAGTGAATTTTCTGTCGGCCACACCCTACACTTGAATTTGCTCTCTTTGTACATGCTATCAATAACAGCTACAGTAATACCCATCTGTTTATTCCTGAAGTGGTTAATTCTGGTAATTGCTATGGGCACTCCTGCAAAGCCTTCACTAGTCTTGCATGACAGTGGCTATGGTAGTGAGCATCAAATACGTGATCCATTGTGGTTCAATTGTGACTGACTGATCTACAAATAATTAGCAGTTTATTTTATGATGAAAGGTCATTTGTAGATCAGTCAGCAGTCACCTGCAATGTCGAACAAGCCAAGTGAAAATTTGACATAAAGTGTTTAGTTAGGATTCGCTCCTTTAGTAAGTGTAAAGGAGGACTACTATTCAAACAGCATTTTGTTGTTTATTAGAAATGAAAGCAGTGTAAATTGTCAATCCAATGATAAATGTTCATTTTCTCACAACCTGTCACCCAAAGCACAACACTGTATTGACAATCGTCAACCTTGTCAGACAGCACACACACAATAATATGCACTGATTAGTGTCTAAATGCCACATTCAAAACAACTGGGAACTTGGAAAGACAACTGGGAACTCCCAACTGGGATATCTTTTTGAACGGTCATACAACTCGGAATTCCAAGTCGGAAACTCTTTCTAGAGCTCCGACTTGAAGATCACTGACGTCATGATTTTACCTCGTTCTTTTCAGAGTTCCCAGTTGTCTTGAAAGCACCATAAGTATATTCAGTTAGTGCCATTACAAAAAAAATATCAAAATATTAATAAAAATGTAGTAAATGTTTTAATAGTGGTTAGCCATTGTGGCATTGATGGGAACAGCATTCAAAACAAAGGTAGAAATCAACTTCAGTTACATGCAGCATCCTTTTTCAAATCCCTTTACAACAGGATGACATCATAGCATCTCAGAATCCTTTTTGAATGGTAATAAAATGCATCCTTACTTCCGCCCATCCTTGAAGTAATCACAGATCTGTGATAGGATAGATTAAAGCAAATATCCCAATATATTGCTTTTACCTATTAAATAATGCCAGATCAGTGATAAGGGTGCATTTTTAAGTAAATGAACAGGGCAGTTATGTTTTCACTCTGTGGCAGTTGTGTCAAAATATCTCATTGTGCCCATTTGAAATTGGCACCAGGATATGACATCATCAATACACCGCTTGACCACCTATGACCATGTTGTTCCTCTTTTGTCCCCAAACGGAAAGACAGAGGAAGACTAAAGACGAGGCTGGTTGTTTTTCTGCTGGTTGCTTGACATACAGTACCAATTGCTAACTCAACTCTTATTTTCCATTGAACGTCATGCAGAGAGGAGAAAAAAGTTATCGCTAATTGGCATCAGAGGGGTCAAATGCGGCGTTCGTAACCAAGTGGGAATTTACCATATAGGACTGGGAAAAATCCATTTGAACGGCCCTCCAACTGGAAATTACTAGTGAGAAACTCGTATATATCATCCTGAGCTCCCACTTCTCCCACATGCTGACCTCTGACGTCACCTATTAAGGAAATGACCTGGATAACAGCCTTTTCGGCAGTTAAATGCAACAACAAAACCTTATTTATAAAAAGCAATCTATTAATATGGTTTTTTAACACTCATTTGTTTACCAGCATGATAGCTTTTAGTTTATGGCTTAGGAAGCTTGTTGGCCATTAGACAAATCAGCCTTTCTCAACAAGTTCAAAGCACGTGAATGCATCCAACTGGTATTTACGACTTCACAACTGGTAAATTCCCACCTCCCACCTGGTTACGAACGCAGCATTATACAGTAGGGTGTTGTCACCGCTGTAGTTAATATGTGTCATCCAGGGCCATCCTATGACAGAGTTGAGGGTGTGGCCTTTGGGCCTGCTGGGTTTAGTATTGCTGATGTGAGTGGAGGCGGATACGCAGTAGGTACACCAAACTTTGTTGGATGTCTGATGACTACAGTGGAATTCTGTGGTGCTTCTGCTTTCTTGATGTGCTCCATTCAGTGACCTCGGTTATTAATCTTTGTGCAACGTCTGGTGGAGGTGGAGATAGAGTGGCTTCTTTGTCAGGAGCTGGAGCTTCTTCCTCTTGAAGTCAGTGGGCTTCTTGTACCTGACATCCGATAGCATAAATAAGTGATTATTTCAAACTGTATATTCAAAGGGCAGACTGACCAACAACAACAAAAAATAACACTCAAATCTGAGATTCTCCAAAGAAATAGTTATCAAATTTGATTTATTTTCATCTTTAAATAAAATAGAGAGTACATTTAAAGAAAGTTAATCTGGAAAATTCAACAATGTGTCACTCACAACTCGATCACAATGGGACCAGGTTTGATCTCATCCATTTCCATGAAGGCAAAACATTTTGTGCTGGTAAACCCCTTCTTGGGTTTATAGTGCTTGAACTCAAAGAAAATAGCTACCCCTGGAACATGAACAAAATTCAGGATTAACAATTGTCCGCCCAATCCCTCTGCAAGGATTTGAACATAAACGGACACTGTAGTAGCTTAATATTACATGATACTAGCTAAATAGAGGCCCCACTACTAATTCAGTAGAAATAGAAAGTTTGACTACCTTTTGGTAGTCTCTCGATATGTCTCTGGATCTCGATGTCTACGCTGAAGTGAATGTATGTGTCCTCCTTTCGGGTAGCCACAGGTGTGTCTTGCACCGGGTTCAAATCAATGCCATTCACATCTGTTGGGAAACAAAACGTTCAGATTCACTTGGGCTGTTCTGCAGGAAAAATATATAAAAAATGTACTGTCAAGCGTCAACTCAACAGAGATAATTCTTTTTACAAAATGTCTAGATTATCACTGTTTCAGACCTTACCATTTCAGATGTGAAGGTAAGCAACTCATCTCAGCATTTTAAACAATATAGCCTACATACAGTACCTTTCACACTAACTGTCATGTAGGGATCAATGCATTGCCCTGCATCTTTCAGCCCAATCTTGTCAATCTTTATCGTGAGCAGCGACATCCCGGGCTCTGAGGGTAACCGTGGCAACAATGTACCTGTTGGAGACATGAAAGCTGTAACTTTCTAAAGAAATACAATAATTGCATAAAACATTCCCACTTTCCCAGAACTAATGCAGCTGAAATCAATATAATGTTGGCGTCCGAAATGTAACCCTACTCCCTATATAGTGCACTACTTTTGACTAGGGACCATAGGGGCCGTATTGCACTATATAGGGAATAGGGTGTAATTTGGGACGTAACCAGTGTTTATACTTGCAGATCCTTTTTCAAGTCATTACTGTCAGCATTATTTTACTTATACAATAATAGGCAGCAGAAGAAGTTGTAGACTGACTAACAGGTAAGGCTAAGATGACATACCCATTTTGGTGAACGCTTGTAAAAAAAAAAGAAGACATTGTAAAGTAGATTCAACAACTAAAGTTATCTAGTAGTAGTAGTAGTATAGGGTTATTGATAATAACAAACTGTCTATTAGTAGGCAATCATATTCATGCTACAACAAAACCTATTGACTTAGGGTCCTTTAGTAGGGCTGATAGTTTAGAGATCAAGAGGTCAATTAAGGAACATACCTTCAGGTAATGCTTTACTCCTGAGTGTTTCACTCGCTCATAGAAGCTGTTGTAGTCTTCCAGCTTCGATTCGGGATGGTGGTGTAGTATCTCTGTGCCTATCCTCCAAATTATCTGAAAGACAAAGTTTGAAGAAATCAAACTTAGCATCTATACAGTACTTCTTAGCTACACTTTGTGAGTGTTCAGTCAGTCCAAAGATAGACCTACCTCAGCGTAGAGTTGTGGCATGTTTGCAGTGGTATCCTCCAGTGTCTGTGAGTAACTGGCCATGTACTCTGCGGCATCCTGCCATCTATGGTGCAGCAAGACCTCCCTGATGTGTTGGAGGCAGTTCCTTGTGGTCTTGTGAAAGCCAGTCTCACGGGGTGTCTCTGTAATGAAACAGACATAGCTACTGATTAATAAGACTAAAGAGAGCATCTTATGTAAAGATGAAAACGATAATCAGACACTGACATACACTACGTGACCAAAAGTATGTGGACACCTGCTCGTCAAACATCTAATTCCAAAATCATGGGCATTAATATGGAGTTGTACACCCTTTGCTGCTATAACAGCCTCCACTCTTCTGGGAAGGCTTTCCACTAGATGTTGGAACATTGCTGCGGGGACTTGCTTCCATTCAGCCACAAGAGCTTAAGTGAGGTTGGGCACTGATGTTGGACGATTAGTCCTGGCTGGCAGTCGGCATTCCAATTCATCCCAAAGGTGTTTGATGGGGTTGAGGTCAGGGCTCTGAGCTAGCCAGTCAAGTTCTTCCACATTTCTGTATGGACCTCGCTTTGTGCACGGGGGCATTGTCATGCTGAAACAGGAAAGGGCCTTCCCCAAACTGTTGCCACAAAGTTGGAAGCACAGAATTGTCTAGAATGTCAATGTAAGCTGTAGCGTTAAGATTTCCCTTCACTGGAACTAAGGGTCCTAGCCCAAACCATGAAAAACAGCCCCAGACTATTATTCCTCCACCACCTAACTTTACAGTTGGTGCAATGCATTCGGGCAGGCAGCGTTCTCCTTGCATCCACCAAACCCAGATTCTTCCGTCAGACTGCCAGATGGTGACATGTGACAACGCGTTTCCACTGCTCCAGAGTCCAATGGCGGCGATCTTTACACCACTCCAGTCGACGCTTGGCATTGCGCATGGGGATCTTAGGCTTGTGTGCGGCTGCTCGGCCCGACTAACAGTTATTGTGCTGACATTGCTTTTAGAGGCAGTTTGGAACTCGGTAGTGAGTGTTGCGACCTAGGATTGATGATTTTTACAAGCTATGTGCTTCAGCACTCGGCGGTCCTCTGTGAGCTTGTGTGGCCTACCCCACTTCGCACTTCGCGGCTGAGCCGTTGTTGCTCCTAGACGTTTCCACTTCACAACAACAGCACTTTAAGTTAACTGAGGCAGCCCTAGCAGGGAGAAGAAACTGACGACCTGCCTTGTTGAAAGGGTGGCATCCTATGACCGTGCCACGTTGAATGTCACTGAGCTCTCAGTAAGGCCATTCTACTGCAATGTTTGTGTATGGAGATTGCATGGCTGTGTACTCGATTTTATACACCTGTAAGCAACGGTTGTGCTTGAAATAGCCGAATCCAATAATTTGAAGGGTGTCCAATACTTTGGTATACATAGTGGATGTAGCACAATCGGTACACCTTGAAGTTTGCTTACGCTGGGTTCACACCTACACACGGTGGAGGGCCAGGGTACCGATACATGGCCCCATCCATCCTCCCCTCAATACGGTGCAGTCGTCCTGTCCCTTGCAGAAAGCATCCCCAAGAATGATGTTTTCCACCTCCATGCTTCACGGTTGGGATGGTGTTCTTGGGGTTGTACTCATCCTTCTTCTTCCTCCAAACACGGCGAGTGGAGTTTAGACGAAAAAGCTATATTTTTGTCTCATCAGACCACATGACCTTCTCCCATTCCTCCTCTGGATCATCCAGATGGTCATTGGCAAACTTCAGACGGGCCCTGGACATGCGCTGGCTTGAGCAGGGGACCTTGCATGCACTGCAGGATTTTAATCCATGACGGCGTAGTGTGTTACTAATGGTTTTTCTTTGAGACTGTGGTCCCAGCTCTCTTCAGTCATTGACCAGGTCCTGCCGTGTAAGTTCTGGGCTGATCCCTCACCTTCCTCATGATCATTGATGCCCCACGAGGTGAGATCTTGCATGGAGCCCAGACCGAGGGTGATTGACCGTCAAATCCAATAATTTGAAGGGGTGTCCACATACTTTTGTGTATACATAGTGTATGTAGCACCAATCGGTAGGCAGGACTTGAAATAGCTGGTTTAGCTTACTCGAGGGTTCACATATTCGTCTACACACTGTATTTTATCATTACCTTTAAATATAGGAGGCGCCAGGGGTAGGTTTGGCTTCTTGATTCGTTTTCTGTTGATTGATTCATCATCATCTGAAGACTCATTTTCGCCCAGTTCTTCTCCAGGTACCCTGAGTTCCGACTCCAGATCATCCATGACTCACCATTTGAAGTTGGACCTATTTTCGTAAACAATCATGTGAAAGCCACTATATATATATATATATATATATACAGTGGGGAGAACAAGTATTTGATACACTGTCGATTTTGCAGGTTTTCCTACGCACAAAGCATGTAGAGGTCTGTAATTTTTATCATAGGTACACTTCAACTGTGAGAGACGGAATCTAAAACAAAAATCCAGAAAATCACATTGTATGATTTTTAAGTAATTAATTTGCATTTTATTGCATGACATAAGTATTTGATACATCAGAAAAGCAGAACTTAATATTTGGTACAGAAACCTTTGTTTGCAATTACAGAGATCATATGTTTCCTGTAGGTCTTGACCAGGTTTGCACACACTGCAGCAGGGATTTTGGCCCACTCCTCCATACAGACCTTCTCCAGATCCTTCAGGTTTCGGGGCTGTCGCTGGGCAATACGGACTTTCAGCTCCCTCCAAAGATTTTCTATTGGGTTCAGGTCTGGAGACTGGCTAGGCCACTGCAGGACCTTGAGATGCTTCTTACGGAGCCACTCCTTAGTTGCCCTGGCTGTGTGTTTCGGGTCGTTGTCATGCTGGAAGACCCAGCCACGACCCATTTTCAATGCTCTTACTGGGGGAAGGAGGTTGTTGGCCAAGATCTCGCGATACATGGCCCCATCCATCCTCCCCTCAATACGGTGCAGTCGTCCTGTCCCCTTTGCAGAAAAGCATCCCCAAAGAATGATGTTTCCACCTCCATGCTTCACGGTTGGGATGGTGTTCTTGGGGTTGTACTCATCCTTCTTCTTCCTCCAAACACGGCGAGTGGAGTTTAGACGAAAAAGCTATATTTTTGTCTCATCAGACCACATGACCTTCTCCCATTCCTCCTCTGGATCATCCAGATGGTCATTGGCAAACTTCAGACGGGCCTGGACATGCGCTGGCTTGAGCAGGGGGACCTTGCATGCACTGCAGGATTTTAATCCATGACGGCGTAGTGTGTTACTAATGGTTTTCTTTGAGACTGTGGTCCCAGCTCTCTTCAGGTCATTGACCAGGTCCTGCCGTGTAGTTCTGGGCTGATCCCTCACCTTCCTCATGATCATTGATGCCCCACGAGGTGAGATCTTGCATGGAGCCCCAGACCGAGGGTGATTGACCGTCATCTTGAACTTCTTCCATTTTCTAATAATTGCGCCAACAGTTGTTGCCTTCTCACCAAGCTGCTTGCCGATTGTCCTGTAGCCCATCCCAGCCTTGTGCAGGTCTACAATTTTATCCCTGATGTCCTTACACAGCTCTCTGGTCTTGGCCATTGTGGAGAGGTTGGAGTCTGTTTGATTGAGTGTGTGGACAGGTGTCTTTTATACAGGTAACGAGTTCAAACAGGTGCAGTTAATACAGGTAATGAGTGGAGAACAGGAGGGCTTCTTAAAGAAAAACTAACAGGTCTGTGAGAGCCGGAATTCTTACTGGTTGGTAGGTGATCAAATACTTATGTCATGCAATAAAATGCAAATTAATTACTTAAAAATCATACAATGTGATTTTCTGGATTTTTGTTTTAGATTCCGTCTCTCACAGTTGAAGTGTACCTATGATAAAATTACAGACCTCTACATGCTTTGTAAGTAGGAAGACCTGCAAAATCGGCAGTGTATCAAATACTTGTTCTCCCCACTGTATTTGTTATATTTTTAGCAAAATATAATGTAGGTAGTTTAGCAAAAAGTGTGAATTTGCTCCAAACCCCATGCATGCTACCAACGCCTCGTCAGCGACACAAAATAAAATATTTCCGGGTCACGGAATTTCTGAGTTTTTCAAAATAAAGGTCGCCCACGTAATAGTAGAAAAGTATCATTAAACTGTATTTATTCATGACAAAAATAATTGTCTAAACATTAACAATGATTCATATTTGTTCCTATTTAAGTGGTATTTGCATTAAATGTGGGGTTCAAAACATGGTCCAAGGTCAAATAGGGCGGCAGGTAGCTTAGTGGTTAAGAGTGTTGTGCCAGTAACCGAAAGGTCGCTGGTTCTAATCCCCGAGCCGACTAGGTGAAAAATCTGTCGACATGCCCTTGAGCAAGGCACTTAACCCTAATTGTCCTGTAAGTCGCTCTGGATAAGAGCGTCTGCTAATGACTATAAAATAAAAAATGCCTGCAATAACCCCTGTATTCTTCTTCTTCTGTGGGCGTTATGGTGGACTACAACCCAAAAAGGTTTATTGCCGCCACCAACTGGATGGGTGAAATCAAACAAGGTAAAAATAAATCCATACGTGAACTAACTTAATCCACCCAAATAAAAATAGTACATTGACAAACAAAACTCCTATTTCTTCCTTCTTTCAATTCTCCATATCTCCCTTCTCAGGCTCTAGGGCCTGAGACGGTGGTACGGCTTGTGACAATATTCCATGTAACTCCGTCGAGAAATCTTTCAGCCCCAGGAACCTCTCCGCCGCTTCCACAATGATTTCATCTTCCTGGACCTTCTCTCCACCTTGGCAGTGCCATTTATCACCATAGCTATAAAGGCCACAAGTCCACCTTCTTAACCTTTGAAATGTCAGGATCCTGCTGGTGAAAGGCAACCCCTGCAGCCTGCAGTGAAGGCCTTTCCATTTTACATTTACATTTTTGTCATTTAGCAGACGCTCTTATCCAGAGCGACTTACAGTTAGTGGACTTCAAGTGCACCATTCAAACCCTCAACCCTTTTACCAGCTGCTGCATATGATACGCTCTGGATAGCCCTGACTTTGGCTTGCAGGGATTTGTAGTCTTGCATGATGTCTACTTTGATGCTAATTAGCATTTTTCGAATCTGAGAGTAAATAGAGCCGAATATATTGATAAAAGTCACCTTGTCCAAGAGCGATTTAAATGGTTATCAAAACGTCATGCCAGGGTAAGCCTACACGAAACACAGCCCTTATTTTAAGTGTTTCTAAAATTCCCTATAGGAAAAATGAATGGTGGAAAAACGATTGGAACCATTTCCCTGTTTGACCGTTAGGTTTTCTGGGTATTATGACACCTCCACTGTGGGGCTCTATAGCAGGGGTAGGCAACTCTGTTCCTGGAGTGCAGCAGGTTCTGCAGGATTTTGTTCCAACTAGGCACCACACCTGACCAACTGAGCTAATTGATCAGTTCAGTGATTGCCTAAATTCAACACACCTGCTGTTCCAGGTTGGTTCAATCCAGAATATGAAGTGTCTGCGGCACTCCTGGACCAGGGTTGCCTAGCCCTGCACTATAGGCCTATAAATTACATATTGGCTTATAGAGAGAACTATTCTAGGTGCCGGAATAAAGTGGGGTTGGGATTACTCAATAGGGTCTTCATTTTAATTTGACTTTATAACAAGTGGGCTTCGTGTTCGAGCCTATTTCTTCCTATTTAAGAAATAAAAGGTAGGAATACCTGTTTGATGGACGAAATTATAGGCTATACTATAATAACATATATATAATAATGATTTAACAACAATATAATGGAATAAAATAGAATAGAATCAATTAGGGAAGGGAGTTGGTCGCAGAGGTCTGGTGTTGGTGGAAGGACTGGTAAAGGGTGGACCTAGTGCAATAGTAGGAGTTGACTGTACTGATAGTGACGCTGTTGTCTATGGTGATAAGAGTTAACTGTGGAGTCGACCTTACTGATAAATTCATAGATCAGAATAATTTGACAAAACAGATTAATGAAAATAAGGCTGTTGAACCACCAAATCTGAAACATAAATTGTATGGGGTGGCAGGGATGTAGATAATTTTAAACAATAAAGGCAATACTTGGGGAGATACTGACCCTGAATATGGAATGGACCAGCACAGTTGGCCAACATCACTTTTATGGGTTGTAAGAATAGGCAGAAAGAGGTTCATGTCTTTGGTATTGGCCTGTAATTAGTTGCAATGCTTTTTTGTCATTTCATTTGCAATGGCATGTGACTTGGATCATTACCATCATTGATGGTCCTCCCAAATATGTTCACTACCGGGCTTCCCTGGACCTTGATAGTAGAGTGGCTACTATTTTGAGAACAAAATAAAACAAGGATAGCCAACCCTTAGCGTCGTCCCTCAACTAGGCATTTATATTACCATTTATTTGATCAATTCTGACTTTTACTTTTAAAGGTTAATATAAATGTAGTTGAGGGACGATAGCCTACCCTGAGACTGTGAGAGTCATATCCTCTCTGTATTTGCTTAGTTTTGTTAGAAATTGCGTAATTCAAATCTGGTATTGAAATAAGAATCAAGAGATCTTCAATCCAAGCTAAATTTATTATATGCAAAATGTATGGATGATAAGTATGTTGGTTCGTATACGGGCTCACTGAAAAACCTCGCAGGGCAGACAGAGAACTAATCCATTGTTTTAGATTGTTCTTCAAATACTCTGACAGAGAGAGAGTTCCCACCTCTCTGCTGGCCAATCAGAGTAGAGACTTGAGCGTGGTTTAGACTTACTCAGCCAATCCGTTGGCGCACTGGCTGTTCCCCGCCTCTTAGCGCATCCCTGTTTCCAGGCATACGTTTATCATAACAACCTGTCATAGTGAGAAGAGCCAGCTCCCCTAGACACCATTCCTACGTCCAAGGAAGGTTCACAGATCACAAAGAACCAGTATAGTCTAGTATTTGGAGACACAAATCCTTATCTCATTTTACCCCCTAAAACAGCTCTTCACATCAATCACAGCTTGCCAGGTGACACAACCTACAGCAGCCCAGTCTAGAATGCATTCTTTCTAAGTTAGTCATCCCATCAATTAGGAGAATAATAAATCCCCCATAATCCCCCTTTTCACACCCACTGGGTGTGATTCAAAATAAGAAAACACAGGGTGTCATTCATTATAATACAATACAAACAAAAAGAATCACACTTTTATTAATAGGCCATAATGATAAAAAAAAATTTAAACCCTCAGTCCATCTACACCCAACTTGCAAATTGTTACCAGTCACCAA